GTACGTAGATTACGTATAATTAGTACCGCAGTACTGAATGTACAGGGGGTACATGCGCATGGCAGGCAAGCCAGCCGGCCCTGGAGGTTCGGAATTGCCAATAACTTGCCAGTACGGGACTTACCATTAATAGCTCTATTACTGTACGTATGGTGTGCTTCAGAGACAAAAACATACGCTACGTGAACGAATAGACTGATCTGTACGATACGATTCCGATTTAACATAATTTTTAAACCGAGAAAGAAATTGAAACATAAATGATGAGTTACGACAACATCATCTCCAATAGAAAGCGAGAAGGACGTCGGCAAGCTAGCAATTTGGGAAGCAAGCAAAAAAAGAGGAAGCCAACCACCATGAGAAAAGCGCGATGTTGCAGCGTGGTTTCCATTCTTGCTGTGCATGCCGGGCTTTTCGTTACTGCGTCGTGTGGTCTCTGGCGAACGCAGCTCGAAGCACGGCGGCAACAGCAAACACCACGAGCGGGCCTTGCCCTTGCCTTTTCATTCGTCACCACAAAGAATCGACGTAGTTGTCACCATAGCCTGCCAGGTGTGTTCGGGACCAGAATTTCCTTGCGTGTTTCGAACGGAAGCACCGACAATGCAAACAGAATGGGCAACTTTACCATCAACGGCAGCAAACGAAAAGGGGAAACAGGAACAAAAGAAGACAGAGCAGCTCATCCCCCCTCGGGTGGAAATGCGGGACCCAAAGGAGACGGAATCCGGAGACGGCTGACGAGGAGAACAGCTCGAACTCAAGACAGAAGACAACGAGAGATGTTGTCAACGTCGTCGTCTTCGTCCGTCGGCCCGAAACCATCCAGGGGCCCGCGAGCCACACCGGTCGGACGGCGGCAAAGAACGAGGAACATTGTCGCTGCAGACACTGCTTCGGTACCAACGGCTGCCACGGTCGTCGCCAGCAACGGGGCAAGCAGCGGCAGCGACCATAAGTCGCCACCACTAGCATTCGACGCCGAGTCACTGGTGGCGGAGCAAACCTACAACATGGAGGCACCCCGCCTCGATTTGAGGGCAACCCTGTCGTCGTCGGGCTCACTGGGTCTTCGGTGCGTTACGACCGGTATTTCTTGTTCTACCGAAAACCGGAACGCAACTGCCACCCCTGTTCTGTCCGAGAATCCAAATCCAAGCGCAAACATAAATCCAAACGAAAACGGAACCACCGCGCCCTTGTTCGAGTACAGGTCGCTCGACGACCTTCTCTCCGCTGCAGGGCTCACGGAAACCGATGCAATGAGTGAAAATCTTGGTGGAAACTCGTTTTCTCTCTCCCAGAAATTCAATGCCGACGAGGCCTTTCGAACGGATCTCCGATCGGCAATTCGACTGGACATCTTCGAGACTACCCCCTTCTACGCCAAACTTCCGGAAAAGGCCAAGGCAGTGCTTCTCCTTCCCGATTCCTCTCTCGAGGGATCCTGGAGGATACCCGATTGCAGCGCATCGGATTCAAAAGAGGAAGGCCGCGATCTCCCCCCGGCGGCGGCTCCTCGCATGAAGCACACCACGCGCGTCCTGAATGCCGCCCTGGAGGAACACTACCGCAAAAATGAGGAGCACGGCGCGAGCCCACACCAGAGCTGCCGTCCTTGGTTGACTGGAGACGACCTGGTCCGGGCCATCGGATCGATCTGCGGGCCCTCCGCGTCGACCCACTGGATCGACATCCACGGGGTCCAGAACAAGAAAATTAACCATTCCTGGCACCTCGATGCGGGCGTGTCGCCCGGAAACCGCAGGACGGTCCTGTGGGGGTTCCCTCCCACCAGCGGCTACGAGGGCACCGGCGTCTTTTCGCACCTGGTGCCCCTGGCCGAACCTTTTGACGAGCTCGTGGCTCCAACCGGTTCTGGCGGCACTACTCCCGCTGCGGCGGCGACGACGATGGATCCAGTGCTGTTCGAGGGAACAGTGGACGAACGACACGTGGTGCGACCGGTATATGCACCGGGCAAGGAACTCCTTGTGTATCGCGACGTGGACGTCCTGCACTCCGCTCCGGACGTTGCCTACCGTACCTCCGTCATGAGGTTCATGTAGTGCAATGCATCGCCGACTGTTGTGGTAACAGACAGGGGGGGTACAGCATGGTTGGCTCGTCCCACCAACCTGCTTCACCAGACGCGGTTGCTGTGCTGATACAAGCCGGGGGAGCAAACCATGCCAGTCACGAAACGATTCCTGCCCGTGCATTTGGAATTGCAACAGCCCGGAATGCGGTTTGTGGGGCATGGCGTAAATTTGAAATGCCTGCGCTATCTTCCTTTGCTTTTAGATCAGGGACTATGAAAATGATTTCTACAATGTTTTGCAGCATAACTTGTAGTCTAGTCTAGTGTAGTGTAGCGTAGTGTCATACATACTGCTTTTAGCGATGATAACAAGTACTCGTATTGTTCGAATCGAAACGGCAGTGTCCCTACCGTAAGCCAGCACTACAGAGTAACATTGTCAGGAGCAGGCTAGTAATCAGAGCCTTTCGAAGAAATTGTTCAGCTATGCACGGTACAAAACCGACCATGCAGCGGAATTATTCAAAAATAATACTGCTGCTGCCCCTACTACTACCAGGAGTAGAATATTACTACTAAATGATATAAGACGCTGGGACATCATCCATAGGTTGCGACCCCGCCATTCAACCTACTGCTGTCATACTACTGGTATTCGTAGCTATCACCGTGGTGAACTGGGACAGTCAGTGACGTCCGGGTATCGTTTCAGGGATCCTAATACTACTATCATGCGGACAAGAAGACGCCGAGAGAAATTGAGTTGAAATTGAACACTCAAAAGAGAATGGATGAGAATTCCACTGAGGTGAAGGTCTAGAAGTTAAGATCGAGAAGGATTCCCAGGTGAATTCCAAATGCCTAAAGTGAGTAATTGTAGACTCGCTTATTCTGAGGTCATACCTTTCTAAACGAAGTACCAGTAAGTACGGTACATGAGTTTTCTGGTTCCAGTAGTTGTTTTTGAAAGTACGAGGACGTACCGTACCGTACTTATGTTACATACATACACAATGCACATACCACTAATTTACTAGAAGTTTCAAGAAATTACCGGTAGCAATAGAATCATCTTTCGATTCCTGCACGGCGCGGTATACCAAGTCAACATATCATTCGTGCCTAAGCAAAGGGGGAACACAAAAAATGGGTTCTGTACGCTATCGTACCGTACGAACTTTAGTGAGGTATCTCGCATACTGTTATTGGAGTTGCTAGGAAATCTTTTTCTTCCTTGGAACTCTCACAAATTAAATACTAAACCCGAAAAACACCAAAACCAAGCCTTTCCAACCAAGATCTACCAAACATGAATACCATGAATCTTTCATTTGTTGCCATCCTTTCCGTTATTGCCTTGCAAAGCACACAAGCCATGATCTCTCCTGCCGTGAGTTGCTGTGAAGACAATGGAGGAAAGTACGAAATTGTGGACGGCAGTGATGGCCAGTCGGGAGTTTGCAGGAAGGATGGAGTTAACACAGAAGCCTTTTACTTCATGGACCAGAACTGCCCTCCTCCGCCAACAGTTTCTCCATCCAATGCACCCACCATGAAATACTCTGTCTATGCCGTCAATAATTGCGACGCCACTGTCACTGCCAATTTTGTTCTCAGATCAAGTAGGAGATTAGGTGGAAACCGGAACAGCCAGGTTGAGGTCCAGCAGGGACAATGCACATATGTAGGTCCTACCAATCTGGATGTTGTGACTTACACAAGCCAGGGAAGCTATGTCAGCAGCGGAAATGATTCCTGCTTGAACATAGGAGATTCCAACAACTCAGATTGCAACTTGCTGGGCATCGCAGAAAATGCCTGCGTTGTCAACCTTTGCTAAGCTCTTAGTTCTGCTACTGTTCACTTACAATAGACTTATACAGTACAACATAAAAAATAGATGACAAATAACTGGTATTCAAAGGATAAAGTAGAATTATATAATAAAAGTAGTCGTAGAAGTATTTGTATCGTAACGCGGCGGCGTGCCCTATTTTGGTTGCCCAACTCCCATTTGTAACGAATCGAAAAACAGCCAGTACAGAAAACGCATGAAAGTGGAACGGGTTTCGTTGCCATTGCCAATGATTTTATCAGATAGATGCATGGACAGAATCATTCCACTCGATGCTGAAATTCATTGCTTTAGATCGTTTTGAATTCCATTCCTTTTCGTTGCTTCGTTTCTCGGGCGCTGGTTGGGTTGCCTAGAGTTCTGGAGCCGTTCCAGGGAATATCCGTTCCCTCAGCTCGTGGTAATCGGCCAAGGTCTGTTCAAAGGCACCAGGATGAAAGGCGTCCTCGCTCCCCGATTCCGCATCTATCTGGTCGCCGCACTTGATGCCAACCGGAACGAAGCGAAAGTTTCGCTGCTCACCCGTTCCGGCCTCGATGAAATCCGGGGGCGGGCACAGCTCGTAAGAGACCATGCTGAGGGGGTAGTAATTCGTCTTGACCTTCGACTTGGTTCCCATCAGCCGGAACATATCGATCGTTTTTGAGTCGAATGGAGCAATGGGGGTCTTGCCGGTGGAGGTGTCTCGGCGATCCCGACCACCCGAAGGGGCGACCCACAGAATGCAGCCGCCCTGTTTGAGCTTCGACAGCATGCCTCCCATTGCCTTCATGTTTTGTCGGGATTTCTGGCTCTTGGTGTCGGGATCTGTGTCGATGTGTTTCTTGGAGTGGATGCAGATGAGGTTGCGGCCCATCGAAAAGGGAATAGCAAGAGAATCTGTCGTAACCTTGTGGCCGGCTACGTAGATGACCTTAGCGGCTTCTTCGGTGTATCCCGCCTTTTCGAGGAGGATAGACATGACCTGAGGGTCGGCCTCCGACTGGTGGTTGGCGTAAAAGACCACGTTCTCGCCCTTCGAAGCCTGTTCCATCGCCTTCTTCAGGTTGTCCTCGCCCAAAACAATAGAATCCTCCACGTCGATAAAGTGACGGAAAAAATCACAGCCCCACTGGTAAAAATCCAGAGTGTTCCCGATTTCCTCGGATATAGGATCGTTCCCCCGCAGCGCGTCGTGGGTAACGCCGAATTGGAACTTGTCCTCGCCCATCCCAAACTTCTTCCCGAACTGGATGGCCTCCGAGATGCGCTTGAGGGCGGCAGTGGCGGAGTTCTCCTCCGTTGGCTGCTTCGCGTTCGCGGCCTGGTGGGCCGACACATACTCGGTGCAAAAGTGGACGACCGAGCTAAGCATCTCCGGGGAGGCGCCCTGCAGGCCGGCCTTGATGGCGGCGGTGGCTTGGTCGAGAGCCGCCTGGTAGTCGGCGTTCAGCTCGAGCGTTTCTTCAGTTTGTTCCTCCGCGGGGGCGGCGGTCGAAAAGAGCGGAACGGAGCGAGCTACAGACGGGGAGGCGGCACTAGCACTGCGTGTCGACGAAGGCGTTGTGCTAGCGGGAGCGAAAGACTGCACGTGTACCGGGGAGGCGGCACAAAAGAGGGAGAGAACTGCCAATTGAAACTTCATTGTCTGTTAAAATGTATCGTGCCGTAGTTGATTATATTGAAATGGAAATGCTAATTGATACGGCATTCAGTATTAGAGATTCGGAGTTGTAGCCATGCAGAGAAAGTCCGACAACCTGTGATCAAGAGAACAAACAGATTCTGCTTCATTTGCATACTACCGCACACATCATCTACAACGTTATCGCAGTTTCTCGTAATAGTAGTACATTGTACTTGGTACCCACCGTACACATTCCATATGGATACGAAAGAATTCAAAATGGAGCATTTTTGCGAATGAATTCGTTCGCTGTCGCGTCGTAGCGTCGTCGACCACTCCAACGCCTCCGACGTATGATATTAACCTACCGTAAGCCATCTGTAATCGTAACACGTCTTTCTCCCTGTCCCCCACAAAACCGGAACGCGGTACACGTCATCCCCGAATGCAATGACTGACATCCCCGAACCAATGCAATCAACGAAAGGATACCCTGTACGGTACGTACGTACGTACCCAACTACCGGTAGCGCCATTTGGTATTTGGTACAGTAGTAAATTAAAATTACGTACCGTACTAGGTCTAGTACGGTACGTACCTACGGTATGGTATATGGCTGAAGAAAGAAGAAAGAATGCGTTTAACGATGCTGAAATGTATGTATGTATGTATGATATGATAAGTACATACGAGTACGAAAACTATCGTGTATCATCGGATAAAGCATGACTGGCTCGCCTCGGGACTCAGTCATTCGGTCACTTGTAGTGATCTAACCGTTGTTTTCCAACTACCGTACCGTACCGTACGGTAAATTAAAAATATCTAAAATTTACTGTACTGTATCCTACCAGGCTGTAACTATCGTAGTAAAAAATACTAGTAGTAGAAGTGGAAGAAATTGGATCCATCGTATCGTACAGTACTTGTACGTACGTACCTATGTACGATCCGTTATTTTCAAGATGGTACTCAGTACAGTTGATACAGTGGTGGAGTACTCGTACTCAGTACGAGCAAATCAGTCACGAACAAACATAGACATCCTTTGATTTTTGAAACAGAAAACAAATGCCTCTCCGACGGTACCGTTGCTTCCGTACCACCCTGCTATTCGTTCTCGTAGAAAAAGACCCTACAGTACGCTACGGTGTGATTTACAGTCCTCGCGCAGAATGGTAGAACATTCATACGGCAGGGCACCGTCGGACACAAGCTAGACATCGCCTTAAATCAGCTTCGAGTACGTACCGGTACGAGCACTACTACCAGAGACACACTTTCTGATTCCATCTCTGCCCAAAAAAAGACGACCCACCCTCATCCACCATGGCGGACATCTTCTTGATCGTCGCCACATCGGTGGCCTTTTTGTTGATGCTAGTCATCGCCATCTATTTGTTGGTTTATTACTCTCATCCCGACGATCGCAACGATGCCTACTTTCCGAAGCTGGTCGTAATCATAGGAATCATGCTCACGGGAGCCACCTGTCTGCTGCTGCCCCTGGACGTCGCGAACAACGAGGGATACGCCGGTACGTGCAGTACTCGTATTTTTCGATGCGTAAAAAGAGTACGGTACGGTACCCGGACCGTACTCCTCGGTACCAGTACATTCCGTGATTTGATGGATTTGTTTCAATTTTTCAAAAAAGGATCTTCACGAAGCATTCCTATCCTCCGGCAGCGCGACAACAAATGGATTTCGATTGATTCTGTCGAATGAAACGGAATTGAAATGGATTAGGAAAGGAAAATAATGAGGTGATGCAACGTGATGCATAATGAGAGTGCATACAGCACAACCTACATTGCAATAGTCGCTTTGGCTTTGTCTTGTATCTCACGCGAGCCTTTCATTCAACACACCATGCCTCACATTGCTGTTTGTTGCCATGTTCTACTTTCAATCTGATCAATGAAACTTAATGTGATGTCTGTCATACCATGCGCAGGTTGTGACGGATACAACACCTCGCTCTGCGGCGGACTGAACATGACCCTCTTTTGGGACATTTTCTTCTGGTTGATCCCCGTCTGGGTCTTCTTGATGATCCCCTTTTCGACCTTTTTTTACGAGGCCGACGACGGCATGCTCATGGCCGGAACATCCGTCGATCCGAACCCCGTCAAGAAGTCCCGTATCCTATCCGCCCTGGGCTACACCACCGGCGTGGTGGTCTTCATCACGGTGTTGTACGTTGTTGCCTACATGACCGCCTCGGAGGCTTCCATCAGCGTGCAAGACTACATGGGAAACGATCTGGTCTCGGCCTCGGCCCTCGGAAACGACCGCCGGGGCGTCGTCATCACCAAGACCTCCATCGGTGCCAGTGGAAACTTTACCACCGCCCAGCTCGCCGAAATGGAGGGAAACCCCTACGATCAGGCGTACGCGAGCACAGTCGAGAACATGGGCTCCGACACGCTGGTCATGCAGGTTAGCATCAGCACCTTTTTTGCCGCCCTCATGGCCTGGCTGGGGTGGTTTCTCTTTGCCGTCTTTGGGGGCATCGGCATGGCCTCCATGCCGCTCGATCTCATTCTGGTATTCAAGAACCGGCCCCGCAACATGGACGCCGTGGAGTACGCCGAGGCACAAAAGTCGCTCCGGGATCGGGTTAACGAACTGGTAGATATCGGGGAGCTCATCAAGATCGAGCGCGCGAACAACCCGAACATGGGCACCGTTGGCGGGATGGGGGGCTACTTCAGCGCCGAAAAACGCAAAGAAGCACGGATCGAGCGGCAGGCCCTCCTTGAATTCAAGCAGGGTGTCTACCTCCTGGAGCAGGACGTGGAAGACTTCAAGGCCTGCACGTCCGATTACGATAACTACAACCCTCTCCGGCCCTACATTGCCCTCTTTCTGGGGATCTGCTCGATCGTGATCTCGCTAGTCTGGATGGTCCACATTGCCGTGTACATCCTTCCCACCCCACCCCTGACGCCCTTTTTGAACTCCTACTTTGCTTGGTTCGACAAATGGTTTTCCCTCTTCGGTGTGCTTAGTGTGGCTCTATTCACCGTATACCTGCTGTTTGCCGCCGTGACGGGGTGCTTCAAGTTTGGCTTGCGGATGGCCTGCATCCAGCTCCACCCGATGGTTCTCGGTAAGACGTACATGTCTTCGTTTTTGTTCAACACAGGCCTAGTCCTGCTCTGCGCCCTCCCGGTGGTCCAGTTTTCCGCCCAGGCCTTTTCGGACTACGCCAGGAACTCGACGATCAACCAGATTTTCAACGTCCAGATCGAGAACCTGACGTTTTTTGGCTGGTGGTTCACCCAGAAGGTCTTTGTGTACATTTTCTTTTCCTTTGCCGGCCTGACCATGCTTTACCTTCTGGTGAAACCAAAGGAAACGGGCCCCTCGGGTGTCGACCTCCGGGACCGGTTGCGATCGAGGAAGGGTTGAGCAAGCACTTCAAGCAATCATCAGCGAGCAAACCAACCATCCGGGAAAACGAAGAAAAGTTTCGTAAGGAAACGAAAAAATAGAAAACTATTGCATTGCACTAGGCGGGAACACATAGCCGAGTAGGTTGTCCCCTCATTGCGACTTTGATCCAGTGTCCACTACGGTACGACAAATGTACTGTGAATACACGCGTCACAATTATCTTGTACACTATCTCAGCAACTACATAATAATTTTGCTAGTAAAAAACTCCTTTTTAATGTCACAGAGCAATTGAAGTAACTACCATACTATTGAAGTTTCATACTATACCTTAGCGGCGCCAAAGTGTTTCAATTGTATATTCTAAGAATATCTGAAATGTACAACTGGGTTGACTTCTTGTACTACTTTTTTCTAGTGGCATTCTGAGTTTTTTTAAATTTTATATGACCACCACCAGAGTACTAAAGTGCAGATAGGTACATAAGAATGATCTGTACAGACACTCATTGAATTGAAAGCAACCCTGTTGTCACTCCACATTCAAAACATATTCTTGATTGCAGCAATTATTTTTATTAGTTCCTCCAATAAGAAATTCATTGCAAATTCAACCATGGTTGAATCACAGGATATTGATGCATCTAGATCTTCTGATACTAGTGAATTTCTATCTAATATGGACAAGGATAAAAGTCATCATGTAGGGAAGAAGGGGTCTTGATAGAAAATTCCAAAATAAAATTCCCATATTTTTCTGTTGATGACAGCAATGTAAAATCTAAAGATGGTAACTCTAGAATGAGACATGAGATCAAGGACATCAATGAGGGGTATGATTTGAAAATAGACAAAATCTGATTGTCTTTTACCCTTTTTATGAAGCGACTGATCCACCAAAAAACACACAAGAAAACCTTATCAAATATAATTCTTTCAAAGCCACTGAGTACTAAGAAGGTATAAGAGAATTGGTACTGTTGCAATCAAACTACAATCATGTTCTGATTATTTTATTGTATCACTGGAGTAGTGCACAAAAAATATGTGCCAGCAATCCTGCGCTACTAACAGATATATGTATACTCTATGTGAATCATATGAGCAAATTATATCCCTCATTCTGTGATCCCTTGTTCTTGTCCTGAAAATACTACACACAATAATTAAGATTGAATTCCAGTTACAACAATCCTGTGTTTAATTAATACATGTAATAAGTTAGTACAATCCTGTACATAAACAATGTGATACACACTCATAGCTAGTATCAAAAATATGTTTCTTCCTTACATTATTACTAGACACACAAGTACTATTAGACCACACCACCATTTTCCTCCTGGTAGAAAGAAAGAAGGCCACTAGTAGTACAATGGGAGTCATGGAGCTTGTTACTAGGATGTACTGGTACATTCAATTGAATGACCAGGGGCAAAACAAAAATTATTTACAAGAACTAACCCCGGTCCCTGGCTTGCAATCCAGAGAAATGCTGATTCCCCCCCCTTCCTCCATCTGTTCCACTCCTCTGAGCTTGATCATGCACTCCTCGTCAACTTCTGTGGTGGTGTGGACTACAAGGTCTTCAGGAAGATTGATGGCCTGTTTGCTCAAGTCTATTGCAAGTATACTGTGGACAACAATAACAAAATTGTTGAAGTTCCTTGTTATCCCAGTGGTGGCAAGCCCAAGGGGAAGAGGAGGGAGGTCAATGCCATTACTCCTATTACTAGTGATACAGGACAACAACAAGACGAGGATCTGTAGCCAGATCAATGGCAATGGCATTTAGCTTTACATCCACAGTGATGTAAGAGTGGCTCAAGTTTTCAAGACAAGTGCTCCTTGTTGCTCTTTACAAACACCCAGATGCCATGGTTAGTGTTCCAAGTAAGAAATTAGTGTAGCTATTCAGGAATCATTATCTTCATCCATGAACGAGGATTTCCAGCTGGCTCAGCAAATACCGTTGCCGAGAACATTCTGGATCAAATATCTTCCCAATATTGTACATAATTCTTTGGCAATTGTAGGTCCTACCATGTCGGGAGACACAAAAAATAGTAGTGCAAACAATGATGATGAGTCAAGCAGCGATAAGTTTTCGGGTTGGACCTGCGATCAGATTACCCCCGACTTGTGCGATCTTATTGTGACGGAAGGGAGGATTCCGATCCGGGAGGATGGGCTCTATGTTCACTATTGGAAGTACTCTTCCGCAGATAATGTCAACAGCGTTGACAACGACAACGAGCAAGTACCATCACCGCCGCCGCTGTATCCGGTGGTGGTCCTGCACGGTGGCCCGGGAATGCCGCACAACTATATGCTTCCCCTGAAGCAATTGGCATGCCGTCCCGATCGGTACGGCCGCACACGGGACATCTATTTCTACGACCAGGGAGGATGCGGCGAATCGGTCCATCCGGTCTCGAACAGAAGCACTCAAAACGCTTCGAACAGCCAAGACCACGCCAATACTCTGGTGGACGAGCATCCCTACCTTTTGGATCCCATGTACTATGCGACCGTCGAATTGCCCAAAGTTCTGGACCATCTGCTCGGTAGCAACAGCAACAGCGGGGGATACCATCTGGTCGCCAACAGCTGGGGGACCATCCTGGCCCAGTACTTTGTGCTCGACTACTACAACCCCAAGAGAGAGGCTGCGCACCAGCAAGGGGGCATCGACGCAGGAACCGATCCGTCCCTTTTCCCGGAGCTCGCTTCGATGACCCTGTCGGGGCCACTCTCGGACGGGGACCTGTACGTTCGTTCGCAGTGGGCGGATGCGGAGGACGGGGGATACAACAACCTTGGGCAGCTACCCCCCTTTGTGAGGAACCGGATCCACGGTCTGGAGAAGGGGAACGCCTACGGGTCGGCCGAGTACCAGGCGATCGACGAGAGCCTCACCGGCCGCTTCACCTGTCGGATCGTACCTGCGCCGGACTGCTTCGCGGTGTCGGCGTCGGGACCGGGGCTCAACGAGGACGTGTACGTTGGGATCCAGGGCCCGTCGGAGTTCACCCTGGGCGGTGTGCTCGAGGGATTCAACCTCACCGGTCGGCTCCCTGCGATCGAAGTCCCCGTTCTGCTTACCTCGGGGGCCTTTGACACAATGCGGCCACCGGTGGTCGATGCCCTCTACCAAGCCCTCCCGTTGGCCGAGTGGACAATGTCGGAATTCTCAGGCCACGTGACCATGATCGACGACGCCGGATGGACCAACGGCGTGGTCGACGATTTTTTGGGACGGGTGGAGGGAGCCACCACCCCACTTGGCAGCAACGGCAACGGCAGCTCGTCGTCGTTTCGTCCGATCCCCGAGCGGTGTGGGCCTGCTGGCTGTGTTCCAAAAGAAACCGCGGTCCGCAACGCACGTGGAATCGTGGGAGATGCAACTATCGACGGAACGGGCATCGGTGACAATCCCGTGATCGTCTCCTTTCTGTCCCTGATCGCTGGCCTTGTGATTGGGAGGTACCTTCTTCCGACCAATTTCAGCAGCAGGAGAGTAGCCGAAGGATACGAATCGATCTAGCAAAACGCCATGCCGAGTCATCGAGCTCTGGAGCAGAAAGGTTCCGAAACAACGCGACTTGCCAAGGTGGAACGGATTTCTCTGTTTCTGTCATGGGTGTCTCGTATGCAGCACTATATTGTGCAATTTCTAAGTTTGCATAGGAGTTGCATCGTTGGAAACGACAAAGGAGCCAAGCCAACACCCCATCGAATTTTCTATTCAAAGAAAGTAGTGAATATACGACGAATGGAGGTTTGTAGACCGAAAATTTTCGTCAATGGGCAAAAAATAGTTCTAAATCTACACAAAACACTCAATACAATAATCAGTTCAAATGCACTATCGCTGGTCTATCACGCTGTTGCCATTGCGATTGTGTGAAAGTTGCGCACCGCTTGCTCAGTCGGCAAACCTCGCGCAAAAGTGGACATGGTGGCTCGCAAACAGGTCGATGGCGGGCATCAGCTGCTCGTCGGGCGGGAGAAAGGTCGTGCGGAAGCCGTACCGTCCTTCTTTTTGGCCAAAGCCGCTCCCGGGGACGACGCAGATCCCGGTTTCCTCTAGGAGCGACAGGCAGTAGAAAGTATCGGGGGTCATGTCGTTTGCTTCGGCGTGTGCGATGGCCCTCGGAGGAATGTCTATCCTGGGGAAGGCGTACATGGCCCCCTCCGCCGGATTGCACGATATGCCGTCCACTTTGTTGAGTCCCTCGACGAGTGCTCGCGATCGGCGCTGGAGTCCTTCGAAAATATCCTTTTCTTCCCTAGCGAACAATTTGTAGGACTCGTCGCCGGGCTTTGGTGGATTTACCATCAGGCTCGTCATGATCTGACCCGATACCGTGGAACACAAGGAGCACGACGCGAGTTTGAACAGTTGGGACTGAACGTAGTCGTCGATGTTGTGGAGCTCCATGTAACCACCTCTCCGTCCGCATTCTCCGATCAATCCTTTGCTCGTGGAATGAAAGCTCACCAATTGTAAATCTTCGCAACCTGGGGTCTATGAGCAGTGAAAAACCGAGAGCAAAAACAATGAGTGAAAACAGTTCGATAGAACGCTGAGATAAGCGAAGTAGATAGCTTCTGTCTTTTCGAGCATCTGATGTTCGAAAAACGTACCTCGAGAGCCACCTTCTTGGCACTCAAGAATTCTTTGTTGGGATCGTATACGTTTTTTTGGTAGACTTCGTCGGCCAGTAGGACAATTCCGTTATCGGCACAAAACTGAGCGGAACGACGAGGGCGGGGCGAGTAAGTTTGAAGGGTATCGTTTTTCTGTTAGGCTACTAAACTGTTGGTTCATTTTCTCATACAAACACAAAAAAGAATTGAAAGCACGAATGGAAAAGTGTTAAATAGCACGGACTGGAAGCGTACCTTGCAGATGACTTCGAGTTCTTGGCGACTCAATACTTGACCCGTGGGGTTTCCTGTGGTAAGCCGGAAATAAGCGAGTAAACAACAAGAATGTAAGGGTATACTTCGAACTTACTTCAGGAAAAAGAACAGACAAACTCTCTTTATCTGCATCCAGAGGAGGAAGGAAAAGCTCTAAGAACAGCTTAAGCAAGAACAGCTTGAGCAAGAACAGCTTGAGCGGACGGAGGGAGAATATCGATGCCTTCACGCACCTGGATTGATCAATACGAGCCCCTTCACTACGACGCCGTCCAATCGGGCATTATTTAATACCTCTTCGAGTGTTTCTTTGGAAGCTGCCCAATTGCTTTCTTCGTCGAGATGGTAATTGACCTGCGTCCCAGTCAACTTAGCGATCAGAGCCGAATACAAGGGATACTGAGGAATTGGCACCATCACTGTAGTAGAATGTGGATAATCGTTCCCAGAGGCACGCAGAGGAATAAAAGTGAAAGGTAAGAGAGTCGATTGTAATTTTTCAGGCGAAAAGAAACGTCAGCACCATTTTCATGCAAGCCTGCACAAGCAATTCGAGTCGTTGTATACAGTTCACTCACCCCCGCACAACTCCGTCGACATGATGGTTGTCAGGACCGATTCTATGGCCGAACTGGCACCGTTCGATAGAAAAATATTCCCCGGGTAGGCAGGATGGCCGTCTCGATCCTCGATGAATTTGGATACGTCTTTGCGGAAGCCGAGAGCGCCCTGGGATCCGGTGTAGGCCCCGGTGCCCGACCCGTCCAACATGCGTCGAATGCTTTTAGCGCGTTCTATCACATCGGCCGGAAACATGCGCCCAACATTGGGATGATGTATTCCGTCTGCTTCGTTGAGGTCCGTGAGGGCCAAGACCTGCCGAAAGAAGGTAATAGGTTGTTGACCGACCGAGTGGGGGTTTCCTTCAAAGGAAAAGAACCAAGTTCACTCACTTCGTTAGTACTGCAGCGAAAATGTTCAGATCAAAAACTACACTGATTAAGCCATGTTCGCAAATTTCCATACATACCAATATTCGTGAATATAATATCTCTACCCTGCTGCTGAAGCTATAAATTGAATTCGTGACGAACGGAGAATAGKGGAGCAGAAGAACAAGCATAGGCGACAACGACAATTAAGGTGCAGGCAAAGGTACTAGTCCACAAACCAGGATTTGTCTGTGACTATCGCATGAATCGTAGAAGATGCTTTCACATATACGGGCCAACGCACTTACTTCATCGGCTTTCATTACGATCTGTCCACGGACAGCATACTGACAACAAAGAGACATTCACGAAGAACAGCAAGTCGAAACAGCAAAATGAGATTCACATTGCGCATTGAAAGCCTAGCGTTATCGACACTGCATCAATTACTCTTGTTTGCTTTCCTCGTCTGCACCTACCTGCATCCGCCGAATCGCCTGTGACATGGTACTTTTGTTCCAGGAATGGTATGCTTCTGGTCCACCGTGCTCGGTATCTTGTTTCTGCTCATGTCGCCGATATCTTTCCCCCACGTGGGCATAATTGTTCAGATAGTCGTGGGCAAAGTGGGAATTCTTGTCTGCTCCAAACTTAGTGGCGATGATAAGCCAGGACTTGAACTCCTCTAAGTCCACCTCGTGGTCCTTTGCTAAATCGTCCAGAATTTTGAACGATCTCGGATGGACCCCCCGCCGGTGAACCGAATGGTCCAGAAAGAAGCGGAGCTCGGTCTTCGAGATTTTCCCAGAGGAATCCTTGTCGATGGATCGAAACAGCTTTTCGGCACCCAATCCAGTGGAAAGGTAGGTCAACCAGTTGCTCTTCTGCCAGGAAGAAAGGGCGTTGTCGTCGTTTCCGACGACGATGTCGGCGAACGTTGACGAGGGGGCTTCCGACGACGATAGTGCTCGCTTCGTTGCATCCTGATGCGTAAGCATGGCTGTGGGTATGGATTGCTTCGCCTGCGTTCCGATGTTAGGAAACTTGAGACGGCTAGCGGTAGCGGCTACAAAACGAGAGGAGCTATAGCACCTATGTAAATGCATCATGTTCAGGACGAGGTCGAGGTGAGCTGACAATAACGCAAGAATAGCTGTGGTGCAGCACAACAGTGAGCTGTATTTTACGGTAAATAGTGACAGCCCTCGATTCTGAATTCGGTACTTCTTTATGTGTAATTGATAGAACTCATCTCGCAGAAGACGGTACGTTCTAGTACTCGTACTACAAGTAGTCACAAAAATCACGAAACGAACCAAAAAATCAAGAATCCTTTTCTGAGTACGGTAGGATCGAAGTCATTGATTCCTTACTAAGTACGAGTACCGAACATACCTCCTTAAGCACCTACAAGTACGAAAATTCATCCTAAAAATAAATTTTGACAGGGCTATGACAGACTTTTTGGCGAAGCATCAAGAATATCCCTTTCTTCTAGACAGTCTTCGCATTAAGAGGGTGGGGGGGGAGTGTGGAGTATGGAGTAGCGGTGGCGGGCAGATTGGGGGTAGGTATAGTACATACTAAGACTACTGACGTATGAACTCCAACTATATCGTACGCATTGTGAATCAATCTGCCCGCCACCGCTACTCCATACTCCACACTCGTAGCGGTGGCGGGCAGATTGGGGGTAGGTATAGTACATACTAAGACTACTGACGTATGAACTCCAACTATATCGTACGCATTGTGAATCAATTGTGAATCAACAATCAACACAATTCTTTTGTGATTATTTTCAGGAAACAGAAACCACGAGTACAAAATTGCGAAAGACGCATCTGCAGACGACTTGCGAGCTTGATATAATGCCATTCGTATCTTCATTGTGTCCGAGTAGCACCAGAAAAGAAAACTATAGATGTAAATATCGAAGTGGAGACATTTGCTCGAGGAGGCAACTGAAACAAAAGACAGGTGTAGCCGCCCCTCCTGTTTCGGTTGCTGCTGCTGGAAATGCAAATTCTTGGTTCGCTCCATCCCGTGCTGTTGTCGTAATAATTTTCGCCATTGCTGTTGTTCTAGTATCTCTTCCTAATTCCGGAACAATCTATGTGGATGCCTTCCAAACAACCGCGGTAGTTTCTGGCCGGTGCAAAAGAGCACCAATGGCAACATCCATGACCCAAAAAATTTCGTCGCGATCGTCGTCGACGCCTCCCACCCGAAGTGCCGCAAACGAAAAGCCTTCCTTCCAGTCTTACCTTGAAGGCGAATTGACAAAAGACACCATCGATGCCGGGCTGGTGAAAATCTTGGTAGCCCTGGCCAAGAGCTGCGCCGAGGTGTCGACGCGGTTGCAGACGTTCTCGTTGGGGTTGGAATATCAGAACTTATATTTGGATGACGACGCGGCAGAAGGGACAGCAGTCGTGGAAACGAGGGTGAATATCCAGGGAGAGCAACAAAATCGCATGGACGTTATTTCCAACAATATTTTCATCGAAAATCTGGGGTCGGTGGACGCTGTGGTAGCCATGGCATCAGAGGAAGAGGACACGGTGATATTGAATCCCCGCAGCTATGGCAACGAGGAAAGAGATGCAGACAGAGCGCGGATCGACGAGGTTCATTCAACTGGTACCGGCTACGAAATTGCATTTGATCCCCTGGACGGATCGGGAAATCTTGACGTGAACCTTCCGACGGGTTCGATTTTCGGGATCGCGTCACTGGAAACATCGCCCCAAACAACTCTCGAGAAGGATGGAACAACAACTACTCCATCGTTCTTTTCGAGGAGGGGATCGGCGCTCCGGGCAGCTGGCTACGCCGTGTATTCCTCCTCAACAGAGCTGGTGGTGTCCCTCGGAAAAGACCATCCGGACGGCGTCCTCGGATTTACACTGGATTTCGCGATGTACCATCGAACGAATCGAGCCGAAGACGCTTTCGTGCTTTCGCGCAAGAACATTCGTTGCCCGCCCTCTGGACCCTATTACTCGCTGAATGAAGCTCGGGAGCCCGACTGGCCCGACGGGCTCAGGCGCTGGATCTCCGACGCGAAGAAACCGCAAGGGACGACCGGCGACCAAGCCCAACCGACAAGCACCTATTCGGCCCGCTACGTTTGCAGTCTCTGTGCCGATTTCCACCGCACCCTGCTCCAGGGCGGATGGGCGGGAAACCCTCGACCGCACTTGCGGCTGCTCTACGAGGCGGCTCCGCTGGCCTTCGTGATGGAGGCCGCGGGCGGCAGGGGGTCGGACGGCCTCCGAGAATTGCTAGAAATCTCCCCCGAGGGCCTTCACGACCGGGTTCCGGTGTTCCTCGGGAGCAGGGACACTATTTTTGACCTGATAGAGACATACGGCGACGTCCAGCAGGTCGAGGCCAAGCGATACGATGTCTAGCGACTAGCACAGAAGCTTGATAGTGCTAGAAACGGTGCACTAGTACTAACACGAGCGACGATGTCGCAGTAAAGCAATTGCAAGAACAAGAGTCTCGTTAGAATATCGCAAATAATTGCACACCGAATCGTGAACCTTAACTTTACTACCAATCCCAAAACCCCTTCCCTAGTAGCCTGGCTTAGAATGCAAGCCTTTTGTGTTGTGTGACCCCGGCGACGATTGCGATTGGCCCATTTGTGGCTGCTGCCGCGACCTGAGCAGAATTTCGGTCAGAATGTTCGTGGGGAATCGCCGCAGGGATTCCCCCAGGGCTTCCGGGGAATCGAAACACTCCTGGAACGTCTCAAAGTCGTTGGCGATGCTTTCCACGCACCGTTTCTGTAGGCTCGTAAGATCGTTGGTAGCCCCGGACGTGGAGGTGGACCTGTCCTGTTTTCCTCCTCCCCCGCTTGGTTCCACGAGGGCCTCCTCCGGAACACCGGCTCCGCCCAGAAATTGCGACTCGATCGCCAGGAGCTTGGGCGTCGCCGAGACATCGATGTACGGAAGACTCTCTTCCGAGGTGAGCCTCCGAAAGAGCCTGCCCGTCAGGATGCTCTCGTTCGCGGCGGCGCAGATGCAGGCCGCCTTGCTCCAGTAGAGCGACTGGGACACGATCAGTTCGTCCGTGTATTTTTCGGGGTAGAGCTTCCGGGCCTCCTCGAGCTGCTGGCTGCTGATTGACAAGATGTCGGCCATGAACTTCGGGGGCACCAGCCCCGAGAGCTCGGGCTGTTCGGTAATCATCTGTCCGATCTTGGCCTTGCATATGGTGAGCAGCTTGTCGGCCCTGGCCCGGGTGGCAAGGCTCAGAAACTCTCCCAGGTTTTTGAGCGTGAGATTTTTCATGTAGAACTCCCCGATGGCCTTCTGCAGCGTCGAAATCTCGAGGACCTCGGCGCTTTTGAAAATGTTGCAGGCCATGTCGGCCGTCAGCTTGTGTTTCATTTCTTTGCTGTGGTACAAAAAATCCAACACCATTGGAACGGCCCTTGCCTGGCTTTCGGTGGAAAGATAGAGACAGGTTTTGGATTCGTTCTCGTCACCACGGTCATTCATGTCTTCGCTATCGTAGTGAACATAGCTGCTCGTGCTGCCTCGTGGAAGGTCGTTCGCGGAAGGACGTGAAGAATTCGAATCCGCACTCGAATCCGAAGCCACAGTTTTCTGGTTCTGCTCGAGTGCCCTGATGTCTCGGAGAATGCGATCGCTCTTTCGGATTCCAAAGGCTACAATGTTTTTGTGGAGGTGATACACATCGACACGGGGCTCGCGATTGCTGCGTTCTCGATAGGATATTTCCAGTGTCCAGTCGCTGAAGCTCCTCTCCGGATCCGATTTCCAGCTCAACCTTCCATCTCGATTGCCGTCGTCGTCTCGTTTCTTTTTCTTCTTCTTCTTCTTGTCGTCGTCGTCGTCGTTGTGGTTGTGGTTGTTGTTGTCGTTGTTGTCGTTGTTGTGGTCGTCGTCGTCCTCCTCGCTGCGGTTGCTGTTCTCGCCACTGCCGCCGATGCTCCGGCTGCATGGATCGCTCCCGGCCCCGCTGCTGGTCGTCCGGTCGGCGCTCCCGGCCCCGCCGTCGCTGTTCCACGGATCGCTCCCGGCCGTGGATCGCACCGGCGGCCCGCCAAAGGCCTCCGGGCTTTCGCTGCCGGGTTCGGAAGCACCACGGTCCCCGCTCCCGCTGCCCGTCGTCCGGTGCCCGCTCCGGCTCATCCCGTGGTCGCCGTCCCCCTGCGGCACCGGGGCGTGGCGCAGCGGGGAGGTCCCCCGCACCTGGCCCCGCTTTCCCCGCCGGAAGCCGCGTGCCTCGCTGTCGGTGGTGTCGCTCCAGCCGCCGCTGCCAGTGCTGCTTCCCAAACGGGAGCCGCCCCGGGAGGTCGGCGAGTGGCTCCGGGTCTGGCGGCCGGCTTGGGGCCGCCTCCGGGACCGTGGCTCGTGGGCCGAAGGGCGGCCGTAGCGCTCGAGCGCCGGCGGGCTCGTGGGCCGGCCCCGGGCCGGGGACTGGCTGCGGCTGCCGCCGCGAAAGTTCTTTGCGTGGTTGTAGTAGTGGCGGTGGCTGCTTTCGTCGTCGTCGTCGTCGTTCTCGCGTTCGTCGCCGCCGCGGACTCCCCGGCCCTGCCGGTATCCATGCTGTTCCATCGCCGCCGCCGCCACAACCACACAAGCGGAAGCCGCGTGTTGGTGGTGTGGGACCAGGTCCGCCAGCAGCTTGTTGCTGATGATTTCCGTGTCGGCGTCACTCCGGTAGTCCGACGGGATCTTGACGATGAGGGGGGGCTTGCCGGTGGACTCTTCCGGTGGCCTGCCGCCGCCCGCGATTCTGCCTGCCGCTGGCGCTGCCGTTGCCGCCGCTGGGTTCGAGGGATCCCGTGCCTTGAGGAACGAGAGGTGCTCTTGCATCGGTTGCTGTTGCTGTTGCTGCTGCTGTTGCTGCTGTTGTTGCTGTTGCTGTTGTTGCCCGGGCTCCCGGCTTTCCTCCTCCCGATCGTTCCTCGGCCGTGTGGGATGCGGAATCGACCGGTGGCCCTCCGACCGCTCCGGAATGTCGGGATCGTCCCGGCCGTTCTGCTGCGTCTGCGGCTGCTGCCGAAAGTGGTGGCGCGGAAAGGGGTGCCGATCTTCTTCTTCTTGGCTTGGGGTCGGGTTCAAGCCGGCGTTCGTGTTGTTCTTCGGCGGCCCCGGGTGCATCGCTGCGTTCTCGCTCGCCGTCGTCGACGAGGAGGAGGAAGACTTCTGCCTCCGGTTCTTCCACCGGGTTCTCCAGCTCTCCTTTTTGGTTTTGCCCCTCCCGCTGTGTTTCCCCTTGGCGCTGCCCGTCTTGGTGTCGCTGCCCGCGGGCCCCTGGTCGCTGTTCCGGCCCACCCGCTCGAGGAGGGGACCGGACGAAATCGTGGACGTAAAGGCCTCGATGGAAGACGAGAGCATCTGGTACCGGTGCCGCTGGTCGTCGTCGTGGTTCTCGTTGTTGTTGTTGTTGTTGTTGTTGTTGTTGTTGTTGTCGTTGTTGTTGTTGTCGTTGCCGCTGCCGCTGCCGTTCTCGCTGGCCCGGGTGAGCGATGGTGGTTGGGTGCCCGGACCGGATGGTTGCACCCTTTCCCCCATGGCCCGGGGCTGGGCTCCGTGGTCTCGCTCGCCATTGTTCTCGTCGTTGTCATTGTCGTTGTCGTTGTCCTCGTCCTCGTCCGACGGAAGGATTCCGGAGCTGCTCCACCAGTTCGATCGCTGCCGCAGGACCTCCTCGATCCTCCGGTCCGCCGCTGCCTCCCATCCCTCCTCGCTGTCCCCCCCGCTGGGGCTCGTCGTGATTTCCGAGGCGGACCCCGACGTCAGGGACGACGACGAGGACGAGGACGAKGACGACGACGAGTGGGGAAGCGAGGACGCCGGGGACGCCAGAAAGGAGGGCGGAAGAGAGGGCGACCGAGACCGAGACCGCGACTCGCCGGCGGACACCCTCACCGGGAAGGCCCCGGCGGAAGGAGCGGGCCGGTCCACGGGGAGGGCGGGCGGCATGGGTCCCGGATCTCGGGGAGGACGCGAGGGAACCCCTTCCCCGTCGCGGAAAATGGAATCACCGGGCACTTTTTGTTTTGCGGGATTTCTCGCAAGGGATTTCGTGTGCCAACCCAAAACAAACTAGAAAAAAGGTGCACCAACGGATTGTGTTGTGTTGTGCTGTGTTGTGTTGTATTGTGCTGTATTGTATTGTAACACGCTGCGTGCGCTTCGGTCCGGGATCGCAACTCGGGAACACTCGATCAGATCCGAGAGGACCGAACTCTGCTTTTTCTTTGGCATCCGTCGCCACCGCCGGAGAGATCCCGTTCCCTCCGAGCTCCGGTTTCCGTGCGAGAGAACAACCGGAACACCGTTCCACCCGGGATTTTTTGTATCATTTTTAATTTTTATCATTATTCTCCCCAAATTTGGCGCCGGACGAGCAGTGCCGTCACGATTACGGCGAACGAACTGGTGAGAGTACGTAGCAAAAGTACACGTACGTAATACACAAGAGTTAGGGGCAATGGAATTTAGAATGTTCCCCATAACATTTGAGGGACGGTATGCATTTTGGGGGGAGGGGTAAGTACCTTCCAGGCCACCGATAGACAACACCTACAGTTGTTCGTCGTAAATTAGCTAGTATAACCCAGGTCTGTAGTACTCTTATTAGTGGTAGTAGAACAAGAAGTATGGTGACTACTAATGCTGCTGGCGGTGGCCTTCTTTGTTGGTGGAAGAAGCACCAAGCAAGCAGCACCAGCACGTCACACCACCACCACCACCACCACCACCACCACCACCACCACCAAATTTGAGGAGAGTTGTTCACAAATTCAACATTACACAAAGAACCAATATCATGACCAAATTTTTCACAGCCACTAACTCAATTCAAGCAATTTTTTGGGAAAGCAGCAGTAACACAACTGTGAGGCCATATGATAGTACTACTAGCTACTACTAGTAGTAATATTCCATGGAACGTGTTCTCCTCATCACACCACCACCAGTTTCAACAGCCATTCTTCTTATCATCTGCTTTCCCCCCAATAACCCCATGATTGGACAACTATGGAAAAAGTTGACAACAATTTCAACTCTTCAAAAGAGTTTCAAAAACTTCTCTCCTCTTGTCTTGCTCTTCAGACTTTGTGATCAACAACAATTCTAGTATTGAACAAAGACAAAAAATTTCAGATACAGCAATACAATATTGTTCTAGACCTTCTTGAGTCATTTTGTTTTCACCAATTTCATATTATTTTTAACAAGCTAAAACAATTATATGGCCTTCAACAAAGCCCTGCTCTCAGGAAAGCTTTTGGGATGCAACTTTTTCTTGTTTTTCCTCTTTCCTCGTTGTCTTCACCACCACCACCATTTTCAAAACTTTGTTGTCACGAGATTGATTTCCGATTTCCACTGTTGCTGATTTCTCTAGTCTTCCCTTTGCCTCTTCTTCTATTTGAAATTGTTTTCTACTAGGAGATATTGACCTTAGCCTAAAGCCTGTTTTACAACATTTTCAAATTCTTCAGATTGTTATTACTACTACCTGCAGTTCTCATCCAACCAAAAAGATTTGCCATCTTTGCTTTCTGTGATGGACAAATCAGCCCCAGATGAGCAGGGATCAGACTTCTCATTTAGTTCTTCAAGCGCCAGACAAGAATAGGTTGAGATTCCAATGCGCAGATTCGTATCAAAGACAACCATCCAACCAACATGCCCTTCMTGCTGCTTACCTTTGTAATTTTTCCCTTTCCGGGTCTTCGCTGTTTGCCTGAGGGAAGCGATTGCTCCACTCCAAGCTCCATGATCCCAACGCATTCCAGAAAGCAACAAGGATTCTGGACTCTTCCTGGCTGCAATACCAACCATTGCTTCCACGATTCCATATCCGGAACTGGAAATTTCTTGGGTGTGATTGGAGAAGGTTTCCTTTGCGCAACTCAAAGGCACGAGCACGGAACAGAACCGTGACGATCAGTTCGTTTCGTTTCGGTTTGTTTTGTTTCGTTTCGGTTCGGTTCGGTTCGGTTCGGTTCGGTTTGCTGTTTCCAATTTTCTTCTGCTGTCGATATGCGTATGGTCGCCGGTCCAAAACCACAACGACAGGGCAAACACATGGGCATCACGTTGGCCCCAACTCTACACAAAAACTACGACAGCGGCTTGGTCCGGCCCTACAAATCAGACAGAGAAAAATTCAAGAGAGAGCATCTCCGAGATTCTTCGAGATGCAAATTGTTCGAAACGAAACGAAACGAAACGAAATGCCTAGATGAATCGAGATCTGTGAATACTCGCAATTACTGTACTTTGGCTTGAGTGCTAGTATTTATGTAAGCGATATACAATCTATGGTAGTTGTGGTGTATTGGTTGGTTGGAATCGGGGATTGGAAGGATCGAGTGTGTATTGGATGCGTTGCGTTGCGTTGCGTTGCGGTGTGGTCCGATCCAGCAGAAAGAGTGTTGTACGGTGTGTTTTCGTTGTTGGCGGTGCTTCCCCAAAAATGTGCATTGTGTTGTGTGGCCCGTAGTGTAGTGGAGTATAGTATAGTATAGTATAGTGCAGTGTGGTGTGGTGTAGGGTCCCGTGTGGTCGGTCGGAAGCACAAGCGGCGGCACCACCCACCAATCCCAGCGGCACGCTGCCGCTCGGGCGGGTTCGTTTTTCTCGCTTGGCAAGCAAGGGGGGGCTACGCCGGGGACGTGGCGTTGAAGGAGCCTTCGGGGGAAGGCCGGTGGCTCCCGCTTCGGTCGCCGACCACCGAGGCCAGGCGTTCCTCAAAACCGGCAAACCGCTTGCGCAGGACGGGGCGCTCGTCCACGAGCCCCTCTTTCGGGTCGTAGATGTGGGCCAGGGGGAACCGGGTGACCCCAAAGCCGTCCTCGAGGGCGGCGGCGTTTTCCTGCGTCACGGGAACCGAGACGAAGCGAACGTCCGGTGGAAGGGGTCCCTCCGGTGCGGGGGCGCCGGAAAGCGCAGGGGATCCTTCCCCGAAGAGTTCCCCCCTTCCGGAAGAGGAGGACGCGGCGGCCCACACCGGGTCGGACGGTCGCTGCCGGGAGGGGCATTGGTTTGCGGGGTGCTGCTGCTTCCGCCGCCGCTGTTTGGGTGGCGGGCCGTTCGGCGACGTGTACTTCTTGGCCAGGTTCTCGAAGAGGGGCATCGAGGCCTTGCAGGCCTTGCAATACGGGGCGTGAAAGATGACGGCCGTGTAGGCGGCGGTCCTCCCGGATTCCACAATGAGCCCCTTGACGGCGTCGATGTCGGTCACCTCCTGAACGAATTTGTTGCCGCGTTTCCTCTTCTTGAGAAAGGTCTGCACCCGGGAGCGGATGCGGATTCCACCGCTTTCCCTCCTGCTGCCGCTGGGGGAAGCACCTTCCATGTCGACGAGGGCCGCGGATCGGGCGGTGCTGGTTGTGGTCCGGGGAGAGACGCCGGGGACATTGCTTGGAGGATGTTTGCGGTTGTCGTGTTGGGCACCCGCATTCGGGCCTTGGTGGCTGCCGCTTGTGGTTCTGCTTTCGCTGTGCATAAACAGAGCGAAATCGCTGCTGCGTTTTTGTTTGTGTTTGTACTTGTAGTTGCGGTTGGTTTTGCGGTGAATGGATCTGCTGTTTCGTATCCGTTCGGTTGTTGCTCGAGTGCTTCTTGTGCGGGCCGTTGGCACACCGGAGGGAGAAAGGGCCGAAACGGTAGCCGCCCCATCGAATCCAGTCCCTACCACCGAAAGCAACACGGCGGCACAGAAGATCGACGATGACGCTCGGTTGTTGATTTTCATGTCTGCAGAACGAAACGGCAACTTATCATTTCGTTTCGTACGCTGTGTCGTTTCCAATACACTCCGGTTGTTTGGCTACCGAATGATCTGTAAGCTTCCGGTCCGATACCGGAGGCAGTTCTGGGTCTCGTTGCGGTTCTAGTTCTAGTTGCGCTGTTTGTGCCTCTCGGGCTCCCGTTGAGCTAATGCAGGAAATCGAGCGCTAGTGGAGACAGGGAGACCATTCGGTTTCATTCAATGCACGGAATGCTTTTCTGTGTCTGGACCAGCAGGTTCCCTCCACACAATCTGACTGGTTCGTGTCTTTTTTCCTCCGAAATCAGAAACGCTGCCGAGTACAAGTAGAAAGTACCCAAGTGTGTACTTCGTAGTAGTACTGCTCGTACCGGTACGAGTACGCACGGTGTGTGATGGATGGATTGTGCGGATCCGTACAATTTGAATACCGTAGCAGAGAAGCGTACGAAGCATAGTATTGCCGTACCCTACCTACGGTACATCCTCGTCACAACCAGTACGGTACCGTACAGTACTGTAGTGTCGGTATTTTGCGACCTCGTCAGCGCAAGAATAATGAATCTGTGGGTGACGCATAGTTCAATATAGTGGGTCCCGTAGATGCATGATTCAACCCGATTCCATTGGACGAAGATTTGAAAATGGAAGCGTCACCTCTTATCGGCCAATCATCGATCGGCATTCGGTTTTACCGGCAGCTGCCGGACACGGGCCGTGGTTCTTCTTCCGAGTGACAACGCCCCGGTGCTGGCTTTCTCTCCCTGGGTTCCAAACCGCCTCCGTCCATTACTCTTTCGCTTCTCATTGGTTGAAGAATCCGGGACGAATATCTTTGGCATTGCTGTGGAGAAAACAGCCAAGGCCGGAAGCTGGTCGACTTGATCGACTCGAATCTGCCGCAAAACCCCGGTTTCTTCCTCCTGCAGCTGTACCTGTAACAGCAACAGGAGGAGAATGAGCGCCAACCCAGCACCAGCACAGGCAGAGCAGGAAGATGATTCTTCTCCATCTGCCCCCATGGTCTTTGGTCATTCAACAATCCAAGCAATGGATAACACGCAAGTTGATCACAGAATAGAATCTATGGTGATTGATGAGGAGACAAATCTCGACGAGCATGGGAGAATGAAGAACACACCTAGTAAATCCTACTATGAAGCAAAGAAAGACAAGTTCCAGCTTTTTTGCAACACTGTCTATTGTGGAAAGAAAAAAAGGCAAAATCAGTTATTTTCAACAATACAGATGAGTGGAAACGAATATCTACTCTGATTGTCAAGAACTCTCAAAAAATGCTCAAAAGTAGCCTCGTGGAGGAGCCAAAAATGTGACAAATAACACTAGTAAAGCTGCTCTCTGACAAATGTGGCTACAACAGTGGGATGGTGCTGGAATCAAGAACACACATAGTGAAGAGATGGTTTTTGGCTTGAAAATATCCCAAATTAGTATGAATCACATAAAAGGACATCAGCCACTGATTGATAGGAAAAACTACAAAGAAAAGATGGACAATAATTCAGTACCTATAGAAGAAGTTCAACATATAGATGCCATAGAGGCTTCTTCGTTCCTCACCAATGGTGGCATTGAAATGTCATCTGGAAAAAAAGTTATTCAGTCAAATCTCTGGGACCGGTTCACATTCCTTTTCACCATGTGCGGATTGTTACAGGGTGATATATTGTTCAAGGCAGAACTATCAGATGTTTTCCAAGTTCTTGTTCAAAAGGAAGACAATCCACGCCCTTTTATTTGTAATAATAATGCAGTTTGCAACAGGGAACAAGGTAAATTGTGGATTCAAACTCTATGGGAGAATGGCAAGAAATTTTGACGTGAATTAGTGTCCTGTTGGAACATTAGGCTTCTACCTCTTGTACTGGTTTCACCATAGCCATGAAATGGATGACATTGATTTTGCAACAGCAGTGCTGCCTGTGTGGTTCAACATCAAGTTCTTGTTATCAGCATTCAACACTGAAGATAATACAAAATGTGTGAACGACAAGACATATGCAGCTGCTGTAAAAAAATCTCCAAAAGAGAAAGAGTACCAACAGCACATGATGTTCACATCAGTTGTGTTTTTTGGGCTCCTATGAATACAAGCTCAACAAGGACCCTAGAGAGGAAGAAATCGGCAAATTTGGCATCTGGGGTCTAAATGTACTAGTACAGGAGACACAGTATTCCACAAAGATTCCTCCAGAAATTATCTGTAATAACAAGGCACATCTGAAGAGACACATCATTTGGAATCCAAGAACAGGGCTCTCCATACCTCAAGACCTTGCCAATGATGTTTTCCCTTGGATGCAATGAGCAAAGGAAAAGTTCAATGCAAATAAAGCAAGAAATAACGCTTCTTGTGCAATGCCATGATGCTTCCTCCTGTTCATGAGTGACCTTGCACAAGTTGTCATCCAGGATGCAGCAGCTCTTGCTATTAAATATCCTGACCATATTATTCATCCAATATACCAGCTTGATGTTTTTCATAATGACAAATTCAGGAAGTATGTGGAAGAAATGAGGATTTATTTATTTAGTGCAATAGCTGGTACTACTACTAATCACCCTTCCCTCAACAGTTGTCATGAAACTCATTCCACTAGGAGTAGTAATACTATTAGTGGCACTAGCACTTTAAATACTACTAATGCTCGTCCCAGTTGATTGTACTTCTTTTCATCATTAGTATAATCATTATTTCAGTGATTCCCATTTCCCTTTCCTACATTATATTTGTGGCAGTGCGTTTTTATCGTTTCAGGTTTCGTTTCGTTTTGAACACCCCGATTGATTGTTTGATTCGTCTTCCTTAGACCCATCCATCGTTGTGGTTGTTGCCCTCGCCCATACGTTGCTGCTGGCGCTCCGAGGCACTCCCACCGCCCCTTTGGATCATGAACGGGACCGATTGGGAACGAAKGGATATCGTCGAGTTCTGGCTGAGCTTGTGCTTGGCGCCAAATCCACCACGTCCCCCGACTCCGTTTCCACGCTTGACGGGAATCAGAGACCCCGCCGAAAAGTCTTTCTTGAGCCCACCGTTACTCTTGCTCTTGGTCAGAGTGCCAAAGGAAGACGAAGAGGATCTACTGACCGCGTTGAATCTTCGGTTCTGGGCTTTAGCGGTACCCACGCTCATGCTGTGTCGGGAGGATCCCAACATCAAGTGATCCGCCGAAGCGTGCCTCTGCGTGATTCCCGTCGATTGGTAAATGTCCGCACCGCCCGACGAAAGATTCGAAGCACTACTGCTAGTAGAAGTAGTCCMGTGTTCACTGCGAGAATTCATGAGGTTGTTTGCCTTGTTTGATCTCTGGTGGCGGCTACCTCCCGGTGCCATTTGCAGCATCATGCTCTGGCGAATGGACGAGGACAGTGAGCTGCTACTGTTGCGACCGGCAGAAGAACGGCGGCCTCGTGCACTGGTGTTGCAGCCGCTGACGCTGCGATCCATGCTGGCCATCATTTGCTTGCGGAGGAATGGATTGTTGGATTGGGCACCAAAATCCATAGGGGTGGCGTCCAGAATGCTAGCAGTAGTGACCATGTTGTTGTTGCCGCCAAAGGGAGTGGAACCAGCAGAAAACTTGGACTGCGGCTGCAATTGTGGTGCAGTGATGTTGCCACTAACGCTGCCGATAGAACTTCTTTTGTTCCGAAGAAAGCTCTGCAAGGGAGTCTCTTTCCTTCCGGATCCAATGACAGATGATATGTTCGAATTGCTGTTCGCTGCGGTTTCGGCAAAGATAGAAGACGGCTGCTGCTGCTGCTTTCTGAGGGCATTGTTTGTATTGCTGCTATTGTCATTCGTTATGCTGGTAGAAAAGGGTGATGGCGTTGGGTCGATAGCGATTGGTGTCGGAGCAAAACCGATGGGCATTTGCGCCATCTGTGACAAGCCCATCTGCTGCTGTTGCAGTCGCTGTTGAAACTGATTACTCAAAGGAAGTTGCCTCTGCTGTTGCTGCTGACCCGCCTTAGCTTGCAGAGAATTCAAACCATTTTGCGGCTGTTGTTTCAACGAATTGCCCATTCCAAACTGCCTTTGTATCTCTTGTTGCTGCTGTTGTTGCAGGATCATTTGCTGTTGCTGAGCGAAAAACTGCTGGCCTCTATTGTGGTTTTTCCCCATACCAGCGCGCTCGATTTCTTGCAACCTTCGAATAAGTTTCATTTTCACTTGTTGCAATCCGGCGTAGTCCATTTGAGCCCTTTGGTTGCTGGTGCTGTTGTTCGCTGTTTGCGGAGAAAGCTGAGGCAACTGGTTATTGACAATGTTTACTATCGAAGAGTGGGCATTGGAATTGTTTCTTTTGCCTTGTTGTTGCTGCTGCTGGTCCTTGAGGTATGGTTCCCGCTGCTGCTGCTGCTGCTGCCGCCGCCGCTGCGAGTCACGACGAGCATGGTCGGAAAGGGATAAATTAGAAGGCAAAAATGGATGTACAGAAGGTGAATTAGATCTCGGCCCAGTTTGTTGTTCTGAGGTTGACGAGGGGATGTTTCCAACTTCTATAGAGGGTAGACTACTCTCGCTGTCAAAAGCGCCGTCAAATTTGTGTTGGCGGTCGTTGTTCTTCAAACTCGGATGGGTGGTGCTGCTGGCCGAGTTGCTAGTGACAGTAGAAGAATGATTGTCATCCTCGTTTTCTTTCGCAGCGGCGCCATCGACGGAAGTTGTGTGGTCACTGTCGCTGACCGCGTTTCTCAACGAGGCCAACAGTTCGTCGTCGTTGTAGGACTTGCCGCTGTCGCCCGCGTTGTCGACGTTTTGTTGCTGATTCAAAGTCAAACTCGGATCGACGCTGGCCGATTTGTTGTTGGTGGTAGCAGAGAAATTGCGACCGTTGTTTATCTTGAAGTCATTGGCGGAGACTACCTGGTCTACGTCGGTAGGCAAAAGGGTTAGCATTTCCGAATCCATATCATTTGAAGCGTGATCATTGTAATCTGAAAGGTGAGTATTGGTGCGGTCGGTGTCGGTTGTGTCGAAATCCATTGAGATTATTTTGTCCAACGAGTTTAACGAGTTGTCAGAGCCGCCTAAAACCTTCTCAAAAGAATAATTCGACTTATCAAAAGGCGCGTCAGCGCCGCGAAGCAATCGTTCAATCGAATTGTCGGAGATGTTGCTACTCCCCTTTGAGCTTCCAGATTTTCCAGAAGGACGAAGACCGAGCAACACACTCATGGAAGAGTTCGAATCTCCGGTGCCTTCCATTAGTTCCGGTGCCTGCTGGTTGTGTAGAGCGCTTTGCGTCTGCGTCTGCGTCTGCGTTTGCGCATCCTGATCATCAAAACTATTCGTTGTCGACTCTTTGAAATATGAATCTGCAATTTTCTTCCATGGTTCTTCAAAGTCATCCCCTATATCACCCAGTTTTGAAGAAAGTCCGATTTTTGAGACGCTCTGTGTCGGTCCCACATCGAGTCCAGATCCCGCCCAGCTATCAAGTGTAAGGGTGCGGTCCAAGTCCAGCTCGACCTTTTCAAATGTGTTGTCGACGTAATTGTCCAACAAGAGTGAGTTGGTGGATTTATCGACTGCTACCCGATTGTTGGAATTGCTGCTACCCCCCGTTCCGTCACTGTGGCCAGAGGATGCATTCGTATTCACAGAGCCAACACCATCGTTGCTAGTGCGTGTATCTCCAGGTGTAGTGGAGGAATCCGAACTAGCAGTTGAATTGTTTGCTTGTTGTGCAAGTCGGGAATGATCCATCATCTTTGTTCTCGTGTCGTGGTTTGTCCCCTTACTTTACTTCAACCGTAGATGAACTTTGCGGTAACCTTTTGAATTCTTATAGGGGTAAGGTATTAAATCATCGAAAGGATGTTGATATTGATGACAATTGATATTTGTTGACGTTCGGAAGTTGGAGGTTGAAAACGGAAACGAAATAATTGAATCGAATTGAGTTGGGTTGGATTCTCTCTATTTATTGCATTTGAGAGCAACAGCGGTCGGCCCGATTAATAATTTCGGATTCAAGAGGCACCTCTGTAGAAGAATTCTTTAATAATGAATATCAATTCCACTTTATATCTCAATGAATAAAAATACCGACCAAAAGATCAATAAACACGTCGATCGTTACTTACAGTTGCTGTTGATTGAATACCGCGAGGAAAAGCAACTTTGACGAAAGATAGATTTTCACGGAAGGTTTGTGTGTTTGCGGTGCGTTTGCAAACGGACCAATTGAGAGTCAGAAATGCGTGTGGTGATGTTAGGATAATCACGTGCTTTATGTTCATATCACGGCTTTTGGGGAAATCCGCCTCCTGTGGGCTAGGGAAAAAAATAGTTCGCGTAGATCACTGTACTCTCAATCGTTACAAGAATTTTCTTAATTATTGGATGTTGCAGTTGTTTCAACAATGAACGAGCTCTTTGGGTGAAACAAAAAGAATATGCCTCAAAAATAATATGCGATTCTTGAGTCCTCTCTGGGGATTTCGAGTCATATGAAGATCAATAAATACGATCGATATTATCTGATTTCGAGAATTATATGCCTTCTAGTCGATGAGCGCCGTAAGCCGTTTTCCGAATGAAGTATTTCGTATTTCTCAATATTGAAATGCTGTATCACACCAAAAAATGGAGATGCAAACATTCATCAGCGTCTGGTACTGTATGAGGGTTACTCGTACCGTGTGGTGCGATTCGTTTGCGATAGATTTACTATGTTAGTTCTACGGCATGCAATTTCAAGGATTTGGCTATGCACAGAAGAATGAACAATCAAGAGTTGCCCGATGACGCAAACGAACTCGTGGGTCTGAAAATTGCACAAGGAAAATCACGAGCAAGAACGGAGATGTACTTGATCCTACTGCACCCCTCTTGTGGCGCACCAATGGAACATCTTAATACCGGATAGTATGATTCATTATTTTTTACTTATGAAAAATGATTGAGTATTTTCAGTACTAAAACCGTGTACATAACGGGACCATAAATAATGATTACTAGTAACTTTTACATGACTCTGTATTGGTACAAGTTCACCTTTGAGACGTACACCCTAATCATCCAATTTCATTTTCATTGAGATACTTAGGGTTCTCAGATCCAAGGACAAGATCAGGCACCTGTTTCCCAACACTTATAAGTCAAACTTCGTTACTTCAAGGAAGAGAAGAAGAATTCAATGAGAGGCTATATTACAGTTGAAGTTATCATTCATTACTATTGGGTAGTTTGAGCCATCAACAGCATAGTTGAAGGAATGTCTTTGAATTTTACCTTCAATTAGTTATTTTTTGCTTTCTTCCAGGCATTCATTCTATGATTTAAACAGCTAGATAAAGTTCTTGCAGCGATTAATTTGGAACACGTTGGATCAATCGAATGACTCCTCAAGCGAATTGCCTCCTTTCGTGACCGTAGAATTTTGTTCTGACTCGGAAGCTACTTTACAATAATATTGCATGCATGAAGGCATAAACCAAAGTCTATGCGATAAAAATTAATACTCCCAAAAACGTGTCCTAGATGTCAAGATAGAATCTTATTGCTGATCAAGAAAAAATACATGCAAGCAGAAGGACCATCGGGACCATAATTATATGCCTCGTTCAGAACCACCCCCGAAATTGCAACAGGAGAACCGATTCAACCATCCCGTAGGTTTTTTAAAGAATTAGGACCTAAGTGAATCCCTGCCTGAGATTGTGAAAGGGCTATTCCAAACGTAAAAAAGCGTTATTTGATTATTACGAAAATAACATGGAACAACAAGGTCATGGAATGTTTTCGTGAACTTGGAGCCGCCAGTCGAACTTCCTGGTCGTCCTGCACATCTTGCGCGACAATTTGGCCATTCCCGTCATTCCAGATTGGCCAAATTTTGACTAAGGGAGTAACTCCTCTTTCATGTTGTCGTTGGTGTCGGTGCCATAATTATTGGTCCGGGAATTGTCACTTTCCGTTGGTCGCAGTAATTCCAAACAGCAAGAACAACAACAGTGCGGTGGTAGGCAGTTATGAATACTAGTGGTAATTTCACCATCTTTCTCTGTCGTTCGTTCCCTACCCCGCTACCAGAGAGGAGTATTAGTGCACCAATCCACCGGGCCACAACAGAAAACACACGTGTTGATTTAGAGTTACTACTTATTCTTCTTCGAAATTTGTTGTTCGTTTTGTTGTTGCTCATAAGTATGCTTTTTAGTGCCATAACTACGTGTTTACAATAAAGAGCGAGGTGAATCACTATCTACTCGGGATTTACTCTCACACCTGGTACTAATCATTTCGTCGGTATGCTGCTGTTTTCTAGCACTTTTTGCGATAGATGAATCAAGAAGAAAATTGAGTAGAGTGGAATTCGTGTTTCGTGTGTAATTCCAGTCGATATACCGGCTCCTCTAAGGCGACCGCCTGCACCAATGGTAGTACTAGCACTGGATTGCATTGTGCTGTATTGTCTTCTGGTTTTCTTTTTGTGGCACGCAGCCAACAATACGCGACTCGGCAGTGGTTCCTAGTCTTGTCGTGTTTTTTGTATTCACAGCCCCTCGACCTCTGCCGATGTGCCAGGAGGCGACGACGCCCCCTGGGACTCGCTGGATCGTCCCTTTTGCGGGAGAAGGCCGTCCCCTGACTTGGTTCGGGCCGGGGGCTTGCGGACAACGCCCCTCACCACGGGGTGCTGCCTCGCCTCGTCGCTGTTCCCGTCCGGATCGTCGCCGTCGTCGCTGTTCCGGGGCAACCCGGATCCGGACCGGCGAGGCTGCCTTCTCCGCAATCCGCCCAGAGCTCGTCCCTCGGCTTCCCTCCCTTCGAGCGTCTGCGGCGGCGACAGGGCCAAGTTCCTGGTGGCCTCCCGCATGGCCCCCAGCATGTCGCTCGATCTCTGGCGCCGGGCCGAGTTTCGCTTGAGTGCCGCTTCCCGGTAGGCTTCGTCGTGGACGGTGGTCCTCCTCCCGCCGCCGCTTCTCTCCCTTCTTCGGCTGGCAGGCCTGCTCTGTTCGTTGTCGTCGTCATCGTCCGAGCGGGGCAGCGGAACAACGTATTCGTCGCATCCGTCGTCGCATCCGAAACCATCCGCATCCGAGCTCGCGTTCGGGTTTTTCCACACGTGCTGCCGTTCGGCGCGCTGCACGAGGCCCTCCCCGGACTTGGTTCGAGCCGGGGGCCTCCTGGAAAAGCCCCGGCCATCCGTCCCTGTATTCCCCCTGCCGCCGGGATCCGCCTTCTCGACCGGTAAGACCATCGGCGGTTCGCCGAGAGTCTCGTGGTTGTCGTCGTCTTCGTCGCGTATGGGTCCCCCGCGATAGCGATCGGATGCCCCGCCCGTTGCAATACGCCGTGCCACGCCGCAAGAGGCGGCGCGTTCGTACGAACAACAGCTCCCGTTGGTAGCAATCGAGACCCCGTCGCAGAGGCTCGCAGCTTCAAATTCATTGTCGCTACTGCTGCAGCTCTGGTCCATTTCGAGGGCGAGGTCAACGTCCGTTTTTGATGATTCTTCGAGGTTCTTGCCGTCCATGGTGTTTCAGTTTGTTTTTGTCAGATTTGATATAGTTTTTGATTTTTTCGAATCGATCGATTGGAACCAATCAACAACAGCAAGCCGAAATCGCCACCAAACCACTAATTGCAACCGTTGTCAGACCACAGAACTCGTTTTTGGTCAGGCTGCGTGGTTGCTATTGCTTCGCTATCAGTGTTGTCGTTATATGAATTGGAAGCAGCGTGTTGCTGTGCTTGTGTGTGTTGGTATTGTTCGGTGCTTGGAACAGATGCTGTTCCGCAGCACTGGCTCTGGCACGAACTACTCCCAAGTACCCACTTCTTTCGCGCAATAAGCTGCACGATTCTGTTCACAAAGGCAGAAAACCGACGAGGTCTGCAATACTGTGCTGTTTGCGACAGCACTACCGAATGCGGGTGCGAGTTCAATTATTGTTAACAGGGGCAGAGGCAGATTCGAATGCGTAGCTCTCGACGGTTCTTGTTCCTGTATCGAACCAACTCAAGTGGAATCAGCCCACCACAGGGGTCCACATCAACCTTGCTGAGCTGTAAATCGTGCCGCAACCAATCAATGCAAGTTCAAAGAGAGGATAGCTATCGCCGCTACGAGGTTATTGTGACAGCAGAAAAATTCCGTGTTCCTTTGAATAGCAAACGGATGATAAGATGCTGTGCAGTTGTGCGGTCTGTGGGGTTTGCTGTGGAATTGGTTTGATTGTCCAACCCGCTCTGCGTCAAGCAGGGTTATGGAGCAGCAAAACTGTACGAAGCTTTCAAAACCAAAAATAATAACGACAACCCTCACCAGCTGTTTCTGTGCCGAGAACGGAGTTCGCACCGTATGTTATTCGTACGTAACTGCCACTACTTGTACTTCTAGTACCTATCTTGTACGTTTATGCTACGGAAGCCATATTCGTAGCTTGATTGACGTACCGTACGGTAGCAATTACTCGCTAACGCAAATACTTTCTACGGTGCAAAAACTAAGTTAGTGCCAGTAAGGTTGAAGTTATGCTCTGAGAAGAAAGTATATTAGTAGTAGTAGAAGAAGCTATTCAATGAAAGCAATGTGGCTGTTTGTTGTTTCTGAAATAGGAATGGAAATCATCGATTTGTTGTGCATGTATGCTGGGTATTGTTTTTGTTGGTGTTGTTTTTTGTAAGCAGAAGAGGTGATCTTGTTACAACAAACAGACCATTGGAAGAAATTATGACATGATGTCTCGTCTGCTGTATTTTCTTTTTTGTCTATCTGCAGTTTTAGGTTTGAGGAGGCCTTGATTACAATGGTGTGATCTGGTAATCTCTTGTTTTTATTTTTTGAATGTGTTGTTTTGAGAAACACAGAAAATATGCCATCATTTATTGCACATTTGTTGGCATTGGTGCTGTCTGTATGTTGATTAGTAGTAGTACTAAGCAACAATATCTTCTGGGAGTTTGTCCCAAGGTTTACAATCCTAGAATTGATGATTTGAACATGCTCTTCTTTCAAGCCATATATTCTTAAATCAGCAAAAAGCTCTCTTGGGAGCAATTTGATTCTCTTAAATCTTCGAATGATACTGATCCTTGTGATAATGACTGATTTTTTTAGTCTTTGGAGTAATTTGTTTCTCTTCTTAATACTGGAGTGACTTGTTGTTACAATAATGACTGAATGTTTACTTTAAATTGAATAATCTTATTTTGGTCAAGGTACTAGTAGTAATTTATTCGCAAAAAATGGCATACTACCACCAGGGTTTACACAAGTCCACACTACTATAAAAAGGAGGTTTCTTTTTGTTTCCTTGGTAAGTCCAGGGCTGTGAGAATTTTCAAGCTTACTGGCTACTAGCGCGCACTAAAGATAATTGTAGTCCAGTGCACCGTAGCCAATTACTCATACGATACTTGTACCAGGGGTGATAATTTAGGAGGGCTGCGCAATGCGTTGAAAACTTCTGCAGCATGATGTGAAAACTTGTATCCCAACCTTGGTACCAATCAGAAAATTTTCACCAGAGAATTTTTTCACTTCATTTTTACTGCATACTACTACTAGTAATACTACCCAACCTTCAAGTGGTAATAACTTCATCGAAAGTACCACTATTTAATTTTTGAACATACTGTCTAGTCCAGTTTTTAATACTGATTGAATAGTGACTAGATTATTAGTAGAAATTACTACTGGGGAATTAGTAGGAGAAATGGATGAAGGACAGACAGTTCAAAATTTTGCTAAGGACTAGTAGACTGGTGGGACTGACTGGACAAAGGACAGAATAGAGCAAAATGTGTGTACGCTCTTTAGTGTGGTATGATATGGTGATTACTACTAGTACAACAATAAAGAGTGAGAATGAGTGAATGAGCTTTCTGCTGTTAATAACTTTCTACTTACCTCACACTGATGACATTCTGTTGATTCAATAATCCATACGTATATTATGTACCATATATACTTATCATGCCATTTTTTCTAGTACATCCTAGTACAGCCAGAACGACTAAATAGATTGCAGAAAGGGGGGTTAGCTTTGAACATAATGGGTGATTCCTGTAAACATTGATTTATGAAAAATCGAATTAGCTGTGCACACATAGAAGTATGTGTTTTTGACACAACAAATACAGCAGCATACTAGATTTTTGGTTCAATTTTGAATCCCACAAGTCATTACTCAGTAATTAGATGGCCCAAAATCAATGCACTGTACAAAATACACATAGAGATTTAACTAAGGGTCAACTCACTCTAACAGCTCTATCTTGGTCCCCAACAGACATTTAACAATGATAAGCACATGAATCAAATCCCAGTAAAAAGACAAATTCAGTGATATGGGGGGTTATATGGTGTGGTTAATGATAATTATGGAAAGGTATACATCACTGTATATCTGAAGTAAAAAATGTAAGTATGGTATGTTGCCCAGAAATGAGTAGCTGAGCTTATACGATACCTCAAAGCCTACTAGTATGACAAGCCCCCCTACCAATACTACCACCAGGAAAACCATTCTAACAGCTGCTAATGACACTTTGATGTCTCAAGACAAGCCCTGGGAGTGTGACATACTGACATTGAATGTTCTTGCTAAAACTGGTCAGCAAAACCAAGGAACTGATGTGGATCCTGTTCTAGTCAACCTGTCTGGCCGGGACTGGCGGCAGAGGTTGTGTATCTATTGTTGTTAGACATGATGTCCTGTTATTTTAGTAACAGAAGGAATTATCTGGTTTGATTGCATTGGATCTTTAAGTAATATTGCTCCCTTTAATTAATTTGCCAATTAACAGGAGGCAGGTTCTTCTTCTTTTCTGTTAAGTAGATGATCATGGTTTAAATTCATTAATTGTGGAAATACTAGTAGTAGGTAGTACTAGGTAGGTAGTCATGGTTCTAATTTGTTAATTGTGGAAATAGTAACTTAATGTTCATGATGAGGTACTATTTTGGATCCCTTAAATAATGATAAATTGCTCCCTCTTAGTGGTAGTAATTGTTTCTTTCTCGTTACTAGTTACTAGTAATTGATGTATTGGTCAGCAGTATGAGGGTATGGGCGCCATTGCCAGTATATTGGTTGTTTTGAACGAGTCCTTATTGGGTCATTCCTGTTAATCTGCAACTACTAGATCAACTAAATTGGTGATTCTTGTTAATCTAGATTGACTAAATGTCTAAACTGACTACTTGAGTCAATCTAGTAGATGAACAGAAAAGGGACTGAATGTTGGTGGCTTGGTGCCAGTTTTTAGGGGTTTTTGAATCTTACTAAATAGTTACAGTAAATTAGTAGTAGTAGTAGTACTATGACTTAATGAYAATAYTACTACTACTACTACTACTACTACTACTACTACTACTACTACTACTACTACTACTACTACTACTACTACTACTACTACTACTACTACTACTACTACTTGAGTGGGGTTGTGTGCTTGGATACAAGGAAAAGAGCATGTCTGACACAGAAATTTAATTCTGGGATTCCAGTCTAAATTTAGTAGTCAGTTTCAAATTGCTTGGGTCTGAGGGTTGTTCAAAAATGACTAGATTTAATCAATCTAGATGTCACCATGTTTTTGTCTGTCTGGGCTGTCTATCAAAAATTTGTCAATCCAGATTAACAGGATTGACCCAATATCTACTACAAATGGGCTGATCCAGACAATTCAGACAAATTGAAAATGGCAAATATGGAATCTTAAGCAGTTCAACATTAGTAGCATGACTAAAGAGAGTTCATTATTTGGCAAGCTTTTCTGTAGGATCTTTCAAAGTACTGCTGGAAATAATTTTTGATCATGGATTCTTCCACAAGCAGGCAGGAGTCTAAATCTACTAGTAGTAGACAATTTGATAGAAAGGGGGGGGGTTCAAGAATAGTCTTTTAAAATTGACTACTACTACTAGATTTAGTCAATCTGGATGCTCCTGGTGCTAGTGGATAGGAGACTCTGCTACATCATGACACTTGCAATGGAGGGCAACAAGATGATTAGTATGAAGAAAAAAGCATGTAAACTTATCCTTGCTTTTGCACACCAAGAAGAACCTTGTCTGCTGTTTGACAATTATGGTAGCAAGATTGGACTAAGGAGCATAATGACTGTGCACTACTACTACTACTACTCTTTGTCAAATATTGTTGACACACACAAAAAATAGTGCTAATAATAAAGTGCTGTTGACACAAAAAAGAGCAAGAATTATGATAATAGTAGTTTTGTTGGTGCTGATGCTTGCCAAGAATATATTTACAGTAGTAGTAGTACTGAACTGTAAAAATCTTAAATGACAAGGGGCTATTAGTACTATGAGGGCCAGGTTCCCTCCTACAATGTCAGCAGTTGTACTAGGAGGAGATCATTAGCACCATTTATTCCTTTCTTGTAAATATGCATGATATTGTGGAATGAAACATGGGTCTGTGAGTGCTTTCCAATTCAACTAGTAGTTAGTGGTGATAGACTGTGAATAATAACAATGGCAGGACAGGAAGGTAAAAACCAGTGTGATGAAATGTGGTATCTGAGACTTTGCATGATATTCAACTGCATATTACTGATCAGCTTCTACTACATTCACCTGAGCTTTCTATGGGAGTTTTTCAAACTCTGTGTTGTTGTCTTGATGGCTGATGACCTTCTTTGACTCAAGACAAAGAAGGTGAAATATTTAGAAATTTTGCAGTTTGATAGATTTGTTCACTGGGATTTGCACATACTGCTTTGTATTTGTGGCGAGAGGAATAAATTCTGCTGGTGATAAGTACTTTGATGCTGTCCCCAAAAATTCAACCTGTGTATGGAAGGGAGATTTATCACTGGTGGAGGATGTTCTTCTTGTTGTGCTACTGGAAGATGAGGTGGTAAATCTAACAATGATAGTGGGAGCTCTACTATGTCAATGTGTGCTGGCGTATCTTTCATTCTGTTTTCAAAATACATGTGAGAGCTCAATGTGTCTGGAGGCAATGATGGGAGACAATGTATGATTGAATTGAATAATTTTGGTGCCTGTGCTCTTTCCTCTCTCCTAGTAGCTGTCAGACTGCTGGCAAGGAATCAGCAGGAAGTGACACCAGACACTACTAGTAGTTTACTTGAAGGCCTCAGGATTCCCAACATCTCCACTGCTGTTTCTTGCAGTCATCAGAACTATACTTATGGTGTTGCTTCCCACCAGAATGTTCACCAGTACCTTTCCTTTTTGTGTCTACTAGTACTATATGAATCTCTATGTCTAGTATTTGTACTATTGAACAGGCATACTAGGAGTGTCCACAGCAGAGAGCTTGTTTGACATGCAGACTCAATACTCCTCTACTAGTACATGTTGCTGGTGAATTCCTATAGATTTAACTTGGCACTATTTTCCCACCAGCTGCAGCTTTCCATTAGATGAAGTAGTATTGATCTCAAGAGACCAGGAATGGCTGACTAGTATTAGTAGTATTAGTATGCTGCATAAGCAAATTGGAATTGTTTTTCCTCTTGAGGACTTCCATAACAACAACCTTCAGCTGATTGTTGGCCTGTTTCCTGCCACCCTCCTCCCAACTGGCGCAAGAACAATGGGTGCATTGCCAGATTTGCTGCTGGATCCACAATTTACAGTTCTTGTACTGGTAGACGAATAATTCACAATATTTATGTACTAGAATGCTGGGAGAAAAGTGGAACCAGAAAAAATAACTGTGGAGTGGAGTGGTGGGAATACTTGTATCATGTTGGGACAAATGGTAATATGGCATGGAGGGAACTTGTCTTGAAAGAATTCTCATCTCAAGTCTTATGTAACGATTATTCCAAATGACTTCCAACTTCAGACATACCGTACAGTCCAATGTCAGCTTTCAGCCCAGTTTGTTGTTAAATTTATTCAAATGCTATTGAATATTAGGATTGATAAATTCTTGGGTAATAGCCTAATTTTCAAACAACTATGTGGAATTGTATCTGTTCTATCTACTACGTTTTCTTTTCATATCATATTGCAGTAACATCCAAATAGCTTGTACACGACAGCGTTCAGTTCTGCAAAATGGATTCTACTATGCAGACCACGAGGAACTGAGTGATGAAAGAAGCAGTTGGCGTCGTATGTGTGGGTTCCGAATTTTTAAAAGATTGAAGACACTGAGCTTTCTATAAACTGTTCGCTTCACTCCTTAAATTGAGAAAGGAAATCGTTCACTCGTATTCCATAACGTCCGATTTGCATGCGTTGCTTACTCGTCTTTTTTGTTTTTCTCCTTTTCTCTGCTTGGGAACGTACTCAATTGTCTGTTGTACTGAAAGGCGTTCTGAACAGAGGACCGTACTCGATGTCCCCTCTTGGGCCCGGCCATGATCTTCAGAACGGGTTCGTTGGTTCCACCCTCGTGTTGGATACGGAGGAAGTTTTCTTGGTTGTGGTAATTTGGTGTGTACATGAAGTCGTGTCCGTCCCCGTGCAGGTAGAGAACTGGAAATTGATTTTTCAAAACGTCTCGAAGGAACACACGAAATGCGTTGAAGAACTCGCTGTGATCTTCTGAGGGATTTGCATGTGCCATGAGAATTACCCCATCTGATGCGTCCATAGCAACGAGATTCAACAACATGACATCTCGCACCCACTCGTACTCAGATCGAAGGCGTATCTGCCACTCGGTTTCGTTGTGGACACGTCCGCCAACGATGTTGAGACCGAACACAAGGGTCCTCTTTCGGATGAAATAAAAGTTTTCTGGATATCCTGGTTGCCGGATGAGAGAAAATGTGTGGTTCCAATTGTTTTCGAATCCAATAAAGTGGTTTGTCCAATGGTCCCAACCGGTATCGATTTCGGATCGAATGCAATCGTTCCATTCGTTGTCACCCGGGACCAAAAACGCTGGGGCATGGGATTCCAGCATGATATCCCGGATCGTTTCGTAATTTTCGGCTCTGCAGAAGGTATCGCCAACGAAAATATCACCAAGATGGACCAAGAATTCACATCCGTGCATCTGCGTCCTGATCTGCTTTGGAAGGTCTGCAACCTCGTCTTCTGTGTACGGCACGTCCGCAATAACGCAAAAGGTGAGAACCGAATCATCATTTGCCGCAAACGGCCGCACGGGCGATCTTGTCACTGGGTCGATCGGCGTGGTTGGAATATGTGTTGGAGAGAAGGATGGAAGCTCTGTGGATCCAGGAATGCTCGACGGAGACATCGACCAAGATCCGATGGGTGCAAGGGAGGGAAAATTTGACAAAGAAACAGGAAGAGCATTCGAAATTGATGGTTCGGATGTGGACGGCATTGCAGACGGCATTTTCGTGTCTTGTATCGATTGCATCTTCGAAGGGGCATTAGTTGGGGCCCCGGGTAAAATAGCAGAGGTTGTGTTTACAAACCCCCGAAAGTCAAAACCATCATCGTCCGGAACAGCAACTGCCAGCTTTTCTTTGCTGCGGCCAACATTTACGCCGACGACAATCATACCCACAACTATAAGAACAATAGCAGCGGACACTAATAGGAAGAGCTGGCAATTTTCCCGTATTGTTTCCCGTGCACTTTCTAATCTTTCGCCCATGCGGTCCCCGATCCTGTCCCCCATAAGGACCAGAGAATCCTTCAGCTTTGCTCCGGACTGCCTTTCGGCATCGTAGAGATTTTCGTGGACTCTTCCCTCCACAACCGCAACCGTCGTCTGGGTGTCGCCGTTGCCCTTGGCGTGTAAGTCGTCTAGGACGGCGGCTTCAGATGGGATGCTGCTGCTATCGTCCGAGCTATCTTGCGTGTCGGCCTGGTATATCCATTTGCTGAATTTCTTTTTCCCAAACATCATGGTAAATCGAATCAACAGGCGGTGATCACTGGTGGATTGGAATTAAAAAATAAGAAACAACGACCAGTGACGGAGGACAATTGCGTTCGAGGAAGAAAATAGGAAATGGAAAGGAATCGTTTTCAATGAATTCCCTCCAAAAAGCTCTCTACGATGGCAGAGAGACGAATTGTAGTGTTCTATGAAGTGGAATGGAAGATGTCCACGATTTCGAACGGAATGAATAGAATAGTGAGGGAAACTATAAATCAATGAATTCGATTAATCTGTTGTAACAGCCCGACATGGAGTATTGCCGTGGTGGTTTCCTTTTTTCGAAGGAGATCTGCTTTTACCGAATAACTCGATCCGTTTTGATTGTCGTACCGTACGGTACGGTACTGCGAGAACGACCTCCGTGAAGAATCGGACGGACCAAACGTTGGCCGAAATTAGTGAATAAGTTTTCGAGGTTTTTCGACAAATACGGGCCAGAGTTGTCTTACACATAATGCGGGATTTGAATTAGAGGGTGTGGCAGGCTCCGCACAGGCGCGATTTGAAAACCGTCGTACCATACGTACATATCGTATTGTACCGTACTAAACAGAATTGAATTTTTACTTCACTGTAAGTTATGCTTGTACCGTACAGAATTGAGTTATTTGGTCTTCAGTACGTCAGTGCCATACGTCCGGTAAGAGTATGGGGCGTGCCAGATTCATTCGTGAATAACTAACCACAAATAGGCACATACCGTAGGAACAAATCGTGCACAAGACCATCGTGGAGGAAGACTTATGAAAAACGTGCCAACGCCAACGCACAAGTACGCATTGTACGGGACCGTATCGTATGTACTGTACTTGGTTTGCTTCTTAGCACGAATTACAGTATCAGGTACGGTTCGTTCTATGCTACGAGTACCGTACAGCGCTTTAAGGAACCCAAACCGTGCCCGGACGTGAGGTATTGGTCGATATTCGCGATTCAGTAAAGTTGTTCGCACAAGTATTGCTCTGTGCCACTATTCATCGGTTGAGAATGCAATTCATAAGTTACTATTTCGGTATGTTGCATAATGACAACACAAAATAGTCATTGCCGTTGAAAAAATAGGGCTATAGGTTACAATAGAATATTTTTAGTCATAAGCCTATAAGAAAGGGACTTTCCTTGCCGGTGAGACAATAGTATAAGTAGACGTACGTTATTCCTGCAGTTGTCGTTATGAGTAAGTCATTAACGTACAGTATTTCTATTCGACGACTGTTGTTGTCATCACCTCGCCACACAGTAGTAGATACTTTGAAACCGTTATGTAATCCAATTATTCCTTGGTCCAAATAGATACTTTTTTTGGTATTCCATGGACATCTAATGACTTTGGGTTCTGGTTTTCAGAAATAGTCATTTCTAGCATTATGACTATTTCTCCTGGCATTATTATCAATTTGAAGTCATTGAGATGGATCTTTTTAAAAGGATGCTCTCACGTCCTCGCACACAATTTCAAAGTGCGCCCTAATCTCGCCTTGGCTTCTAACATCATTCTTTTATCTCAACTGCGTTTTGTCACTTTCTTGAGAGACAGTTTTCGAAAGTCATAAATAGTGACTTTCTTGAGCAACAATCAAAGATGACTAGTAATAATCCTATTTTCGATGCAAGAGTCGTACTTCCAGGATTGAATCTGACTCCGAGCAGCAAAGAGGTTGTCGTTCCCGACTCTGTGACATCTGTGATCGATGATGGTTCTATAGTCGTTTTTCTAAAGAAGTTCGACGGTAACCTGAGCATCTTTCGTGATCAGAAGATCTTGCTGTGTGCAACCTACCAAAGTAGAGGAACGCCTCAAAATAGTGGCGTGAATGACGAGAAACATCAAGGTGACGATAATGAACCTGGTGAAGACGAAGAGGAGCCTTGGGAGAAGGAGTTGGACGACGAGTTTAATGACCAGCCTTATGAAAATATATTGGTGGAGGAATGGGAATGGGGTAAGCATTATACCCTTGATTCGAAAATGATGTTAAGAAGTAAATTATTTCCCTTTTTCTGATTGGTTGCTTTTTGTGCAAAATCTACCACGCAGCGAACAAGCGGATCGATTCTCCCTCCATTGACGGTTATGATAGTTTCCTGATCAAACCAGGGGAAGCATGGAAGTCTACTGAGAAGTCAATGGAAGAAGTTGTCCTCTGTTTCTATTTTACTGAAACGGATATCTTGCCCTCTGAATCGTTGCTTTCCTCTGAGAATCGAGTTGTTGAGGTTGGAGAATCATTTGTGATCGATGTTACCGATGATAGCAATCCAATATCAAATCGCGTCATTCTTCTTGAATGGGATTTTAATTGTACTCTAATGAAAGAAGTTTTCTCTCCAAAGGAAAAGGAAGTTCTAAAACGAGAAAGTGAGATCTGTGACGAAGTGCTTCTTCTTGGAATGCATGGTGGACAGAACTTTCAGCCGTCCAAGAATCTCGTTCTACATGTTCACCTCAATGAATATTTAAGTGGTGGTCAAGGAAATCTGAAGCTGAAACTTTATAACAACTGTGAGATTGAACCAGATGCGAAGAAAACATTTGACGAAATGGTTGATGGTTGTATTCAAAAATCGTGTGAATACGACTCCGTCGGCTCATTTTCTGCGAGTGGTATATTTGGAGACTATATAACATTCGACATCGATTCCAATTCTTTAATCCAAATACTAGAAGGGTGTTCGAAAGGATCTGACGACAACTTAATTTCAGTGTTGGAAGAACAAAACGATGAAGTGAAACAGGTTCAGACTATCATTGATGCGATTGAAGCTGCTCAATTTGCTGCGGTGATAGAGGACGAGAATTCTCGTGAATTAGTCGCCAAGTTTTTGCTTTCGTCAATTACATCGAACAGCATTTTTTTTGATAATGCGGTACAAATGCTCAAGTCTCCAAAGAATAGGTCGTTTGAAATAATTACTGATTGGTCGATGATGGTAACGAAAACTGCCGAATCTATTTGGGACTCCATTTACACAGATGCTGACTATAAGCTGACACGGTCAGAGAGCAAACTTTTAGAAACCGGTGATAATGCTCTCCAGGAATTTTTAGTCACTATCGCATTGCCTGAGATCAATGCTGATGTAGCGACCATTGATCCTTATAACGATGTTGAGATCTTGGTTGAAAACTGTGATCCCGATCTTTCTTTCTTCGATCGGAACGAGAATAGGGATTTTCTCCAGGTCCGTAATCCCACAAGGAAACCGATGTCTGGTGACGATCATATGATTGAGTTCAAGTGGAATTCCATTGACAGACGTGGTATCGAACGAGAATGTGAGATAAAAGTTTCGATCCTCATTGGACGCGAAGGCAGTCGTCAACAAAAGATTGGTAGGACTATATCCATTTTCAGAGAAGTTGGAGGAGAAAACAAACAGCATACTGCACTAGTGAGACTTAGAAACATGGTGAAAATGGGATTTGAGAATGCTTCTGGTTTTCAGTGCTGTTTTTCTCATTTTTTGGAAACTATGTTCAAGACTGTATTTGCCCTTTCTACGAACGAGGAGCAGAGCATTTCGTCGCGCTTATTCTTAGAAAAAGCGGCTGATGATATAGCAAGCCGGTTTTACAAATCTGCAGCGGATAGAAAATCTGATATCTATGAGATTATACAGAAGTCACCAACGTTTTCACCGCCCAATTTCGAAGACATAGAAAACGTGAAAGTAATCGCGGAGACGGATATCGCAGAACTCATGGAAGACATCTTTGGAAAACTCAATAATGAAATGTTGTTGATTTGGGCCGCGTCTTTGAAACTTGACGAAGACTCTCTAAGTTTTGTTGACGACAATGAAAGTATTGATGATCTTTATGAAAAGCATGTTGGAAATCTTCGCCGAGTGTTGCGAATGGACTCAACTGAGTTGGCAGCACAACTTAAAAAGCATCCGAAATTAATGGAAAATTTTGTCACTGCTGTACAACTGATTCGTGACGAGATCGATAATCCTACCATCGATTTACCTCCAACACGAGAAAGTGACTTGGCACAAATGTTGAGTGAATCGAGTGCCAAAGAAATTGAGTTTCAGACACAGGAAATTCTGGCAAATATTGAAGAACAAATCCTTTTTACTCCGTTCTCTGATAAGAAAGACGAGGGATCTGAAGTTCTAACAGAGAATGTATCTACGCGTAAGTTATAATCGTGTTGTGGAGAACCCATACGTTGATACGGTACTTGAAACGATTTTACGTTGTCCCCTTCTCATTAAATGAACTACCCCTACTTCCTTCTGATTCATTCAATCATAGTGGAGACAAATCTTCTTCAAATGCTAGAAACCACGGCTGATTCCTGTGAAACTGGTATTGATTTCTTGGAAGATTCACAAGTAATGTTGGAGAATATTTCGACACTCTTGACAAAACTCAGGAATTTTGGTTCTAACGTCAAGACTCTATCAAGCAACGCAACGAGCCTGACTAACTTCGTCACGAGATTTTGGAATGCCATCAAATCATTTTCGAATGTGTGTGTAGGGCCTTTGGCTGCAATCAAAACAATAGTCAGTGCAATCAAAGTTCCAATGCAAATGATCTTGAGAGCATTGAAGAATGGGAAGGCGAAGATTTCTAGTCTCGGGAAAAAGATTGATACGAAGTTAAAGAAGTTGGTGGATAAATCCATGATAGACAAAATCGACAAAGTTTCACAAACCATCGGAAAGCCAAAGACTGCTCTGGAAAAAGTTGTTGAAATAGTTGACATGCTCATCTCTGTCGCTTCCTTGGGTGTTTTACCGGCGTCGCTCATTTCGGAGTTTGCATCTTCGAACTCCCTCTCATCTTTCTTTAGTATACTATCGAGAAAAATTGGAACGGTGAAATTATACCTCGAGAGTGCTTACGAACAGACAACACGGTTAGAGCCCCATCTTACATCAATGAGAAACTTGAGTAACAGTGTCGCTTCAAAATTTAACTTCCTCCGTCCATTGGATGCGGGTTTGAAGAAGTTTCAACCATTTGCTGACACAATTCAAGGCTTATACCGAAGATTTAGTGGTTGGTTAAGGCGCCTTCTTGCCGCAGCGATGTGGCCCGTCGAGCAGACTATTAACGCACTTTTGTATCCCTTTAGGGCCCAAATTAATCGTATGATAGCAGAGTTGAACCCTTTTGGGAAGATTGATGATCTTACGGCGAGACTCGTTGCTCCTCTCAACAATGCTATAAACGACACCATTTTGACGGGACAGTTGAATCTATTGGAGAGTTTCCAAAACATGACAATTTCAGAAGAGCTCAAAGAACCATTCAAGCAGATGGCAAAATCTTTCACTCTCTGCGTAGCGATAATACAACGTGGATTCTATGGCTTGTTAGAAGGTTTGCTCATACAAGGTTCAAATGACGTCGGTTTTTTCCAAGAACTTATGGGTGCCGCTGAAGTCAAAACTATAAAGCAATTATTGGTTGATATGCAAAAAGAATCTGCTGTTGTCACAATGGGCGACGCAATTATAAATATGAAGAAATCCATCGATAGTCCTCTAGAGATGTGTGATTCTTATCTTCTCATGCACGCCAGTAATGATCGCCATACATTTATTGATGATTTCACTGACCATAAATTGGCATCTTACGTCAAAAGATCTGATTATGATTTGACTCATTGTGCAATCAATCCTTCTCTCGACAAAGCGTCAGCCCTTTTCGAATACGGCAAGACAGAAGACGGAAGTGCTAAAAATTCATGGGTGATGGCTTCGATAGCTGCTATTTTGCACCATAGTAGAGTTACAGGTCAGGCAGAACAGATTGGCATTCTTGCTCCTGATAGCACAATTCTTACACCTTTCATTCCCGAGGATCAAGGTGGAGGAAAGTACACAATCTCCTTGCATCCGAAATTGTTTATGCCGATGCAGATGTATGATGTGGACTCAAGGCTCCCGATCCGTAAGGTAGTTTACCCTTCCCTCGAGTCGTTCGAAGAATTCCCAACGGATATTTTTGATTACGCTAATGAAAGGATTCGTGCTGAAGTGTACCCTATCTTTTCGGAAAAATATAGCTTCGCTTTAATCGAAAAGTTAATTGCTTGCGAGCTGAATATGACGGAGACAGAATCGGTTGGAACGGCCATGCACTTGTTGAGTGGAAACGTCCAGCATGGGTTTTGTCATAAACGTGAAAGTAATCGCGATGAATGGATGAGATACAATTGTATTAAGGCTGATAGTCAAACTGAAAAATATGATAGGGTGGCTCTACAATTGACTGATGCCGAGAAAAAAACAGAAAATGAACTCGTTAATTACATGAAAAGTCGAAGCATGTCAAAGGAGCAAGTTGAACTCTTGGACTCGTTGTACCACAATAGTCTGGGTGACGAAAAAAAAACTGCAACAGCTTATGATCGGTCGTCCCTAGAAGAGGCAATGCAGGACTTAACAATTTTTGTTGTGGTCGCGTCCGATCCATCGAGGTCTGCTTTCCCGATCTTATACACTGACAACACTCCAAAAACTCATCTTGTGTATGCTGATGGTCCACAAATAAAGCCATTACTCAATTTGTCGGTTTTCTCCGAGGTCTGGGAATACTCCATCTCTGGCTTCCACTCCAAGCCAAACACCATCTTAGGTTCTTTGGAGACAAAGATACAGACCGGAGAAGTTACTCCACGAGTTACGACCGCCACATTTTATACGAACCCCTGGATCACGCGCTTATCTTCAGGTGACGACGGCATACCAGAAACAGGTACTGACTCTTCAATCGGCAGATTGATCGGGCCGCTCCTGGCCCATGTGAGAGAGAGGGGGGCTGTACCCATTTTCAAGAGAGCTATAATGACAACCATGGATCAGGTTTCATCATCCAATAACAAATCTCGAAGGACCATTTTCAAGGGGGACTATGTGAAGAAAACGAAGTCATCCAATCTGTACAAAGTCATCAAAGTTAATGTGACAAAGAAAGATATTGGAAAAGGTCCAGATGGAAAAAAGAGGTACAGGACGGTAACTGAAAATTACACTGCAACGTTGGTCCTAAGCAGAGGCAGTAAGGTTGAAACACTTGAAGGGATGCAAACGAAGAAATTGACATATCGAGAAGAATTGAATAACGATAAAATATTGAGGAACGAAAAGATTTTTTATGGCAAAGGATTAGCACAAGTGGATTTGACGAAACAAGCTGATAGAAGAAGAGCATTGCAATGGCCGGTCGATACCAAACAGAATGTGAAGTATTGCGGAATGGTAAGTCCTTCTTTGATGTAGCACGCTAAGTTTTCTATGCAGTGTACTAACATTTTTAAATCTCCAGACACTTCGAAATCTGAAAGACTATGTGGACCATTGTAAAGAGAGATATCCATTTCTGTGGTTGGAGTGCAAGAACGAAAGGGGTACAAACAAATTTGTTTCCGTTAATGATCTCTGCGAGACGTTCATAAAGCCACACACCTCCTCTTCCGAAGCCTGTATTGCTCTCAACATGAAAGATGTACTCGGATCGACGATAAAAAAAGCAGAAGTTTTCGTATCTCTTTCGTGGGAAGAAAATATCGAGCAGGTAATAAAATTATTGTACGACCAAATTGGGGAAACAAAGATTGGTAGACCCGGACGTAACTTCACTGAAGATACTGTTATCTGGCTCTCTCCGTTCTCTATTTATCAAGGAGGTGGCCGTGGATCGCTGCAAGATCAATTGCTCATTGGCGTGTTTCAGGAAATTACCAAGTCAGTCACTGACATGTTTGTCATTCAAACGGGCGTTTGCAATTCATACTCAAGATTATGGTGTGTCAGCGAATTTTCGGCTGCAGCTGACAACAACGAAGTCAAAATCCATCATTTATTCTCAAGTGATTGGCGGGACAAGTACATTCGAACCCAAAACAAAGGGTTTGCGTATGATTGGAAAGAAATTGAATACAACGGGACGAAAAGTAACGTTTTAAGAAAACTGTTTGTCGATGAAGATCTCAGTACTAAGATCCGGATTGCAGGGTCAAAAGTGCCTGAATACTTCACATCAGTGAACTATTTTCTCATGGAAGAAGAAGAATGGGGCGAAGGACCGGGTGTCGGAGGAGCGCAGCCAATTTTGCGCCTTAACGTCATGGAGGTAAGTTTATCGTTTTGGTTCTCGAACTGGCCTGCTTTTTCTTGCGTCGTTGACTGACTATTTCCATTCTCTCTTAGGGATTGAGCAAAAATGGAATGAATGCCAGGAACGTTGACAAGGAAGAGTTTGGAAGAATAGATAATTCTGTGAACGGAAAATACCAGAATTGGTGGAGACTACAAAAGACAATTGTCGATCTCGAAAGACGTGCAGCAGGTGCCACTGCTGATTTGACACGTTCCGTCACATTATCACAACAATTCACCGAAAAATACGAGCCGGGAATGGGAACAAACTTCGACATTGTTAGACGGGTTGAAAACAACAAAGACGAATACGACGAAAAGTCAAGAAGATTACTGGATGGCTACGTTCCGGTATTCACAAAACTCGACGAGCGAGGCAGGCGCTTCCTTCAGTTTCAAAAGGACGAGCAAGCGACAACCTATTTCAAAGAGGTCATTGGACTCAACCCCGACTACGAGCCTGCGGACGTGAAGAATCTACTAAGCTTTGGTGCAAACGTCGAACTTCTTGGCAACGACCGGGCAAATTTCGAATTCCCGAACATTGAAAGACTTGCGAGACTTCTCGATTGCACCTACGTGGATTCGTTGCGCCTCCCACCACTTGCAGCATCCTACAAGTTGGCGCCTGATGAAGATGGTGTTGCGCATCCCAGAAATGTTTTCTGGGCGGAGTACTACAAAAAGGCGATGGTGGCTGCGAAAACCATGACATTTGTCATAACCGGGGCATGGGTTAATTCCAAAAATTGCTTTGAGGAACTGGAATGGGCTGCGGCACTTCGATCAGATCGATCGAAATACAAGACCTTGTTCGTCTTTACGAAACGAAACCATTTCAAAGAGTTAGAGGATCAAGATACTTTCAGGTTTGTAATCGATGGTAAAGTATATCAGTACAACTGGACACAGTTGAAAACTGCACTTGGCTTCACTGGTCGTCCCATCGTTGCTCCAGACGTGGAAAGCATAGCAGAACTTGTCGGGGGTTCTATTCGTTCTTTTAACGCATGATCGGTCTACCCCTTTCATCTATGGTGTTGCGCTCATCTACTTTGTGCTCGCACACCGGGCACCAAACAAGCAATTGCTGTGGCCTGGTGGTACCTCCCCGCAACGACAGCCCTTCAACCACGACTTCCTCCGGATGCGCGAACCAGTTTGCAACGCACCACGAGTTCTTGCTGCTGGCTAGTAGTGGTGCTAATCAAAAGGCGCGGACGAGCGATGAGTGCATCATTCAAGGACACAAACACTACCGCAACCAACTGGGCGGTCACAACTCCAAAATGGAGACAGTAAAAGACTATTAGAAGTACCTCGGACGGAAAATCTATTTGTTTCTTGTTCTTCACTGGATTTCTTGGGAAAAACGCGTCTCATGAGGCTGGAGACGCTTCCCCGATAGAAGAACTTCGTCATAATCAATATAGTATAGTAGTATTGTACATTTCTCACTCCATAGGTGTCTAATGTCGCCATTGCGTACCGGTAGTTGTTTCATACATTTTGAAAGTCGTGATGAAAAAACATACTGTGTGATCCCACCAATCAGTAAATCGTACTACTAGTATTAGTACTACTACGAGTAATTGCATTGCTGTTTGTTAGTAGTAGCTCATAGTAGTATGAATTTGTCATACTATCAAGAAAGCCACCACCATATGAAGAATAACCACATCTACTACTAGTACTACTACTACTAGTAGTACTACTACTAGTACMACTATAACAGTAGTAGTAGTACTAGTAGTGCTCTTGAGTGATCTCATACTAAAACTAGTAGTATTACTGTTTTTATCACCCTCTACCCCACTGTTGCTATGTATTATTACCATACCAGGTACTACTACGACCAGTTTGTACTAACTCGTAGTCCCGTTTCGGCAGTACTGTACGCCCTACGGTACCGGTAGGTATGTAGTAACGATAAGCCTTCACGTCTTAAATTCTGAACAGTGCGTAATGGTATGTACCATACATTACACCATACCGTACAGTGCGGGGATGTACGGTGTACGGTACCACAAGGAATGAGGTATTGCGATGCGATGCGATGCCATAACCAAACCAAGACGAAACTGCCACCTCCCGAACACCAAACAGGCAACCCTCCACGCCGGACTCGTTTCCAAGGGCCGGACCACCGCCCAACCACCACCCGCTAGCGCACGCAACACAATGGACGTGATCGTTCCGGGGCCATCCATACGGCCCTTCTGCGCCGCCATCGGCTGCCTGTCCCGGATCGGGAAGGAACTCTACATCGACTTCGATCCGATCGATGGATTGTCGGTTCGTTCCCTGAACGATTCCAAGTCCGTCTTTGGGAGTTTTCACTTCGAGCCGGCCTTTTTCGACCGGTGCAGGTCGGCCCGAGCCTCCGTCGATCCGGCGAGGAGCCGAAAGCGAAGGATCGGGGGGGAATCGACCGAACGCAGCAGCAGCAGCAGCAACAAAAACGACGACGACGAGCGTTGGACCGTCCGGATCGCCATGAAGGCACTGGCCCCCGTCGTCCGGCAGCGGAGGGACGTCCTGGACCTGCGCGTTTCCACCTCGGGGGACCACCTGGCCTTTGGGTTCCGGCTGCAAAAGACCAGCGGGTCGGTCGTCTCCGTGTCCCACAGGGTCGGCTACGCGCCCGCAAAGGGGGTCGCCGCCGTGGCGGACACGGAGGGGGCCTCGGAGCTCGTCGTCCAGCCGGCGGTCCTGGCCACCATGCTGGAGCCGCTCAAGCGGTCGGCCGAGATCGCCCTGCTGGTCAGCGAGACCCACCGGCTGGTCTCGGGCGTGTCCTTTGCCCACGACGATCTCCCCGAGGGATCCTCCCCGTCCCCTTCCGCTCCCGGCCGGGGACGCGATCCCTCGAACGCCCCGCTCAAGACCGAAACGAGCGTCGGCTACGACGACCTGGTGGAGGTCCACTACGCCGGGAGGCCGGGGGCCGGCCGGGGGATCCTGGATTCGACCGGGATCGAGCCTCCGGGGGACCTCCACGAGCGGGTCGTTCTGGTCTTCACCCTCAAGGAGTTCAAGGCCTTTCTGCAGTATTGCTCGCAGGCCGTTCCGGACCGGGAGCTCCGGACGTCGATCCAGTTCTTCTGGGGCGGGAGGCCCATCGTCGCCAACACCAAGGGGGACCAGTTCAGCGCCGAACTGGTCACGGCGACCCTGGACCACAGGCTCCTGGGGACCATGAAAACGTCCGCAACCAGCACCGAAGCGGGGCGCTGAGGCCTCTTTTTCTCGTCTCCTCTCGGTCGGTTCCCTTTTTGCGGTGCTTGGTGGAGATTTTTTGGATGGGTAGCAGCGACGCTCCGGCATTCGCAGCTGCTGGACGGGCATCGGTCGAACTGCGAGTGCCGCTGCTCTCTCGCACCGGAGCTGGAAACAAGGTTGTTGTGAACGGGAGAGCTAGCGGGGATGGGGACGAGGTCGTCGTCGAAACTGTTGAAGTATCCGAGGACGTGCTGGCATGTTTTCTAGGGAGGAGGGACGGTGTCGGGTTCACGGGCAAGCTACTGACAACGAACCACGGACCAACAACTCAAAGGAAGAATGAGGTTGACATGGTCTTCTCTGTGTGAGTGATCTACTACTACTACTATTAAGTATTGGTACTGTTTGCTACAAGCAAGTACTTCTACTGATTATGGATCGTCAGTTGAAAACTATGACGGGCATTTTCATTCTTGTAACAACTAGTAGTAGAAGTAGTATGACGAGATGGTGCCACTGGTGCTAGTAGTACTAGTACTTTTTCTTCTAGTATTGTATAAGTAGTAATAGTACTAGTAGGTCCTGCTAGTACTATCATGGGGTTATTGTTCTTGGTTCTCGAGGTAGGGCATGGAGATGTTGCAGGAGGAGGATGAACAACAACAAGAAGAACAACAATATGAGACGAGGATGATGATGAACAAGAAAAAGAACTCATCATCTGCACCGCCAGGAGGAAGGAGCAACGGGACGAGAAGAACAAAATTAAGAATAGCAAAGAAAAGAACAGGAGGGTTTGCTTTTCTTGCATACTAATAGATAATAGTACTACTACCAATACTATTAGAAATAATGCCACTGCTACTCGTAGTCGCCATTCTGATGGATTGTTGTTGATACTATCAGATACCGTACCGTACTTTGTGTTTCGGAAACGAAAAAATGTGCGCGCCACAAATTTTCTGTCGATGTCAACGCCATCAAAACCAACAAAAACCAAGGAAAAGCAGTTCCGTAAATTCCCTGGAACAAAAACGACGACGCACCGGGGCTGCGCATCGTAGTTGAGTGACGCAACGCAACGCAACGCAACACAACACAAATCAAAACAAACCAACGAAGCGCAACCACGATGGGTTCCGACGATTTGCAAGACCAGCTCAGCCACTACGCAAAGTTCGTGGAAACCGTTCTGAAGCCGAAGCTCTCGAGCGCAGAATCGGAAGCGGGCGTGGTTCGGGCCGAGATTGCGGAGTACCGCGAATTGAAAGCAAAGGCGGACGAGCGCACCAAAAAGGGCTTGGCCGGCGAGCCGCTCGAGGCCCTGGTCGACCTGGGGCACGGAGCCCTGTTTTGCAACGCGGTGGTCCGCGATCCGGACAGGATGTTCGTAAAGGTCGGGCTGGGATTCCACGCAGAAATGACCCTCGCCGAGGCCTCGGAGTTCGCTTCCAAGCGAATTTCCTATCTCCGGGCCAATCGATTGGAAAAGAGGGAATCCGAAATCAAGGAGATCCAGGGCCACATCCAGTCGGCCTCGATGATTCTCGACCAATTGCACGCAGAAATGAGAAACTCGTGAGGTAGTGAAAGCTACGCAACAAATACCGTTCGGAACTCTCTCTCTCTCTCTCTCGGATAGATGATAATCATTGGAGAGCAATCGAAACTTCTCTGCCGCTTCTACCGCTATTGCCTGGATGCCACGAATTCCCTGCAATGATTCTCTGGGAGTTCTCTATGCGACATTGAGCTCCCGCTTCTCTTCCCTTTGACGCAAAGCATACAGCCAGATGATTCTCATCGACTAGGTTTCCTTTCGAGAATGCTCTCGTCAAAATCAAAGTCCTACTGGATGGATCGAAAGACAGAGAGACAAAGAGCTGACAACAGAAAACTACGACAACAATAGATATTGTTCTGTTTGCACTAATAATCCCACAATTAGCCAAAATTAGTAATTCCCCAACGATCTCGTCTTCATCTATTTCAATTTGTTTTTCTGTCTCGTTTGCTTCCCTTCCAACCGTTGTGCCTCGATATAGCGAATGAGTCGAATGGAAGACAAKCCAATCACCACTATAAAGCAATCGAGGAAACCCCAGGAACGAAAGTAGGTAGCGATCAACACCTGGAGGGCCCAGCTGATCCAGCCGATCGGAGATTTTATTAGACACTTCCTAACTAAAACCATGTTGTAGGCCGTGATCATACGATTGGTTCTGCTCACGCCCAGGATGCTTCCGAACTCGGACGAAAATCCCTCAATGACAAAGAAGCCCGGAACCATCCTCCTTAGCATCTTCAAAACGAAGGAGCAAGCGTGTTTGTCTCGTCCGATCTTGTGCGCTTCGTTTCGCTTTTCGCGGTTCGACGAAAGGTTTCGTTGGGCGGCTGTGGCCATCAAAGGCGAATTTGGAGAGCCCACGCTGCTCGGAGCGGGGACTGGTGCCAGCCGTGAAGCCTTGAAAAGCTTGCTCACCAGAGAAGCCAACGAAAGACCCGCCGTTTCATGCAGAGTTCCTCCCTCTACCAGGCAGCAGAGCGAGCGGATTGTCGTCCATGTGAAGACGTGAGGCGTCCAGTGGGGAATAGTGACGTAGTCCATGAGCAGAATGCATGCTTCTGGCAGCACACAGAGTGCTATGTAGCACATCGTGACTCCTCCAAATTCTTCTACCGCCTCGATCAGTCCAAACTTTAGCATTTCGAGCAGAAAGAAAAGAACCATGGCGGAGACCTTTGAAACTATTGCGGAAGCCTTCGCCGCTATTTGAATAGCCTCGCGAGTGACCCCCAGCAGTCGTATCAGCAAGGCTGCGCAGACTTCTTTGGCCTCGACAAAAGCATTCCATACAATACGAAATTCTTGCGCCAATTTCTCGGCTCGCTTCGAAAGCCGTTCCTGTTGGTCTCTCGCGGATGCCACGACCGAGGACTCCCGAACTGCAGCGATCGATGCAGTGCCAACCGCCCGGCAGCGGGCTGCAACACGCTCCACGAGGGATCGAATGGCAGCGAGCAGGCTTCTCCAGAATTGATATACGGTGTATCCCTTCGGGGAACGACGAAACGCAACGCTCGCCGAAGGAGCCTCGCTGAGTGTTTGACCTTTCGAGCAGAGATGGCTTGGGTCCGGGCTCGAAGATTCCTCTTTGTCGGTCGCTCCAGCATTTCCGGCACCGCTGCATATGCTGCCGTCCCCCACGATTCCGGCAATTCGAGAAACGTGCGCTTGGTCCGTGTCGTATCCAATGCCCTCGTCTCTAAACCCATTGCTATTGTTGTGGTGGCTATCACCACTAGCGTTGGAAGAGTAATCAGAGTTGTTGTCTGGATCGCCAAACGTACTCAGAGACGAAGTGTTCGATTCTATGCAAGAGCTCCGACAAATGGTCGATGGAATGGAATTTTCTTCCGAGTCTTCTTCGTCGGGGTCGACCTCGTCCCCGTTTTCGTCGACGTACTCCTCTCCTACAAAAGCGATGGGCTTTGGTAGGATTGCTTCGGATTCGATCGCGATGCGCAATGGGGTTTCTTGGAGTCCCTCTCCGTTTGGATCGGATTCCGATTCGGATGCGAGCGGTTTTCCATCAAATTGCATCTCGCGACCGATGGGATTGCTCGGCATTCGTTCCTTTCGTTCGCAGTCGTTCCTCTGGCCACTGGTAGAGACTTGCGAGGGCGGCAGTCCCACACCATCGTTCGTGGTGTTTCTATTGTTTGGTGCCACCGACGGGTTTCGGAGATGCGCGTCTACCGCATTCGTGATGGTGGGAGAAAGAATATTCGACATCGGAAAGGGCACAGCGTTCGAATCGTTGGTTGCTGACGGGCCGATTTTGTCGTTGCCAGCCTTTCGGAGTGAATGCGCCGGTTCTCGCAAGGCAGGCTCGTTTCCAATGGCAGCGCTGTTGCTGGTCGGCATTCGAACTTCAGTCGAGATTGGTTTGTTGCTGTTGCGGTTGGCTGCCATTGCGCCGGGTGGGTACCGGCCCGGGTTGGCGAGGAACGCGGTTTCGTTGGCAGGATCCCCCGCTTGGAGGGTTCGAAACCCGGGTGGTGGACGCAGTATGATTCCAGCGTTCGGGATGGTGGTTCTGTTGGTAGCAGCAATGGCTGCGCCATTTCCGTTTGGACTCGTGCCTCCGATTGGGATTGTTTCAGTTTGGTTTGGGCGAAACACCGAGTCCTCGCTAGTTGCTGTTCTTAATGTATGTATTTCTCTGTCGTGGTCGAATCGATTGCCATTATTGTCGCTGCTACCGAGTCGGAGATGCTTGGCGCGGAAAATGTCGTTTGTGGGCAACAGGGATAAATGGAGTTGTTGATAAAATTGAGGATCGTTCATCCCTGTCGACAGCGACGCCATTCTCGAATCCATCGCTTGCGCAGCAACAGTATTAGTAGGAGTCTGACTTTTAGCTGCTGTTTCTGATTCCCAAGGATTATTTGGAAGGGGACTAGATAGCACAGCGGGCCTCGCAATCGTAGCGGCGGGAGGCATTGGGTCGATCCGAACATCGTAGCTGTTGCTCCGTTCGTCACTCCTATTATTATTGTTGTTGTTGTTGTTGTTGTTGTTTTCGTCCGCGAAGAGACCGCCTGGTGAAAAGAACGAGTCAACGAGGGCCGCATCGTCTTCGATCTCGCTGTCTTTCATTGCAAAAGAGGCTGCGCGGACAGCAATCGATCGAAAGTTGTTTCAGGACAGCCCGACTACTTTCTTGAGTTGCCTTCAGGACAATTAATCGCAGCCTCAAAAATACCCAAGCTGCATCTGCATCATTCAATCTCGAATCTAGTTGTAAGGCGACAAGATCAGGTGCATAGCAACAAAGCGACGATGCGTTTTTGCTTGAATTGAATTGATCGATATCTCTAGCTAGTTTTGGAAGGAGGCAGCATGCACTGTTTAGGTTGGGATTGCTTCGTGATCCGAACTCATTCCTGTTTTTCAATATGTTTGGCGGCGCTGCTCTATCAAGGTATCTTGTCTTTCGTACCGGTGCTTTGGTCCCAATAATCGTTGGAGACTACGATTGCCACTCGATCACAGCTGTCGAATTCTGTTTCGTTGCGTTTCTCCGCTGTATTATTTTGAGATGCCATACGCCGTGTTCCTTTCTGTTTATGCTGCCGTACCGTACGATACCTACTCGCAGATACTCCTACCAGTATAATGAAGTGGGGAGGGAGATCCACAACCAGAAAATAATGAAGTTCGTACGGGGACGAGGAGGCACATATGTATCATATGAAAGAAAAATACTATGTAAGGGTTTTTCATTTTTTGATATTGGATCCAAAAAATACTTTTTTGTTCAACAACGGGAAAACATAGGCACAAAAATCATTTTGACCCCCTTTCAACGATCCGTCCCCTAAAATATTCCTCAGCCGGTTGATTGATTCTGTCATTCGTTCATCCAGGATTCAACCGGTAGCTCAACATACGAGTCTGGTACGTAGAATACTGTAGGTTCGAGTACAGAACCTGCTGCAGCGCCAAACGGCAAAATGTGTTCTTGTTGATTCTCCACCGAGTTGAGAATCTTGAATCTTTTCTTCCTGAGTCGTACTTTTCCATCCGTCTTGGTTTTTCGAAAAGAGAGACATTTACTGTATTTAACAAGCAGCAGTGCGGTCCCAGGGGTGTCATCGCATGGATTGCACCTGATTTTTTTTCACCAATTGCCACCCATAAAGACAACAACGACAGGAAAACATGGTTGTCCCCGACGATTTGCTTCTTGCCTTCTTCGGCGAGACGACGTCCAAACTCCTCGGGATTGATGCCCGGGCAGCCACTGCGTCTGCGAGGGAGAAGATGGTCGCCCCCGCCGCCCTGTTTGGCCTCGCCGATTGCCGCCGCTGCGTTCTGGATCGGCAGGTGCTTGTTTTGAACAAGGTGACGGAAGAGTACCAAGGCGGAGAGGCCGTTGCGACCAGCCAGGTACAGGAGCGCCTCGGTGGGTTGCAGCACGAGCCGAACCTCTCCGGGGAATTGAAAGCGGCAATGGAAGCAATGAACGAGGCGGCTCGGATCGCCGTGTGCAAACTGGCACTCTACTCCGAGGAAGACTTTGCGCGCAGCGAGCCAGAGGCAAGAATGGAACGAAACCTACAGGGCGAAGGCCGCTTGGATCGGACCAAGATGATGGAATACTTTGGGTTGTGCCAAGCAGCCCTGCAATTGCCGTGTGTCATGGAGTTTATGGTCGACACGAGCAGGGATTCGGTGTTTGAATTCGAGAAAGCGGCGGAACCCGCAGACGGCAACAGCAAGAACGAGAATGGCAACGGCAACGCCGACGCCGACGCGGCGATGATGTTTCCGCAGGCCCGCCTCGAATACGTCCAGCGCTTGCTCGCAAAAGCGATCGGATGGGATCCAGTGTTCGTGACGGCCGAGCTGCGCAAGATTTTCGTGGACCAACCGAGCGGCGCCGACCGCGATTCCTACGGCGGCGAGGTCTCGGCGGTCTTCCAAACACTCGTCGAGCAAATGACGGTGGCCCTCCGGGCGGCCACGATGCACGTGCGTTCCAGGCAGGACACGGCGCTCCTCAACGACCTGGGCAAGGGGGGGAACACCAGGGTCGTTTCGGTCCAGTATTCCGAGTTCGACGTCGACCAGCACGGGAACAAGATCGAGTCGTCTACCAACGCCGCCCCGGGCCGTACCATCGACGAGCGGGGGGAGGAGAGCACCGACGAAGAAAAGAAGCGCCGGCTGCGACTGGCCAGCGAGGCGGCCATCCTGCAGCAAACCATTCTGGGGGAGCTCCTCGCCATGGACGAGGCCGAGCGCGAAGACAAACTGAGAGAGGCCGGCGACGCCAGCAGGAAATTCACGGAAGAGGCCATGGCGCTGCCCCCGGGGAAGGAGCGCATCGACTTTCTGAGGAGCATGGATCCGGCCACGTCCCGGCACCTGGCGATGCACAAGCTGTGGCACGGGATGCTGCAGGCGAACGGGGGGAAACCGCCGAAGATGGCGGCGCGCAAGTGAACCATGCGCGGTGGCGGCGAGCGGGCTCCACACCACACCACACCACACAACCTCTTGCGAGACGACACGGGTGTGCGGCGTCGCGTCGCGGCAGAGTCGCAACGGTAAATAATTTTGTATTGTCGTTTCGCACTTGCGAGAAGACACGCGTCACGGAAGAGTCATTCTGGTAATTAAATTTGTATTGTAGTTTAGCACGGTCGAGCTTGTGCGTGCTCGCACAATCTACTAGAAACGCAGATAGGCTATTGTTTGCACACAGGTCGTTGGAAGAAAGTACTTCTAGTCGGGACCTCTTCGTTCCCAAATCGAAGGAAAAGACACCAAGCAACCATCGGCGAATGACTCTAGACCCTTGAACGCGAAAAGGCATCGCAGTTGCAAGAACTGGTACCGACAACCGTCCTGTCCAGCACCATCGACCGAGAGCAACGGTCCTTGCCTTCGATTCGATTCGATTCGATTTTAAGACGACACCAAACACCCTCGCATTCGATTCGTTCTCGTCGATTCCGTTCCGAGGGGTCCGGGCCCGCGGTCTTGTCGTGGGTGATTAGCTCTCTCGCATCGGCACGGCACGGCGATGGATTGGCCCGCCCGCCCCCGGGGGTCCTTCCCCCGAAGCGGGTTCCCGCGGCGTGGCGCTCAAGGGGTCCGCCTCGGGAGGGGCGCGGGGATCCAGACTCGCTCGCTCGCTGGCGCCTCTTTCTACTACTCGTCGCCGTCCTCGTCGCTCGAGTCTTCCTCGCTGTCCGAGTCCCGAATCTCGAGGCGGGCGATCCGGTTCGTGTTGACAAAGAGGTCGTCGTCCCCGTCCGAGTCGTAGTATTGGTCCGCGTAGACGATCCCGTCGCAGGGGTCCCCCCCGCTTCCGTCCGGTCCGGTCCCCCCGCCGCAAGGATCCGTGGGGGCCTCCCCCCCGCCCCCCGGAAACTCGGGGTCGTTCTCGGGCCAGAAGCCCTTCGCCACCAGGTGCTTGACCTGGTCCTTGTAGAGAATGTGGGCAATGATGAAGCGGATCCCGGTTTCGCTTGGGTTCGCGGTCTCGCTGGTTTCGCCGGAAGCGGGAGCCGTGGTTTCGCCCCCGTGGCCGGTGTTTTCCGGGGGCTCCCCGTCGTCCGCCTCGATTCCCGTCTGGACGATCACGTAGTCGTTTCGTTTCACCCACACGAGCTTGTGGAACCTGGTGGGGAGGATGGCGAGCCCCGCCCTGGCGCTTCCGACGTCGGAACCAGGCGGCGACGCGAGGACGATGTCGAACTGGTTCCCCCCCCGGGTAGCGACGACCTTGGCGATCCGCTCGTTGTCCTTCGGTTCCGGGAGGTCGTACAGAACCGAGTCCGTGAGGTGCTTTCGATAGTGGGTTCTCCGTCCGAGCCCCGCCATGGCAAGTGCGTGTCTGGTCTGGTCTGGTCTGTCGTGGGTCGAGCCGTACTCGAGTGCTTTTTGTTGTTTTTGTTGTTTCTGTTGCTGCTGCGATGGTCCGTTTGTTCCTTGCTGGTCGAAGCGAGGAAGGATTCCCAAATTGCCAGAAATACCGTATCGTACGGTATTGCTTTCTGATTTTTCACTTTTCGTATTTTTCTGGCTTTTTCTGTGGATTCGTCGTCGGTTGTGTGGTGTGTGACTGCGGATGGAGAGGATGGTTTTTGACCAACTGTTGCGTTGGTGTCCATGTGAGATACAGTACCTGGTACCTTGTTAGTCTCGTAGGTGCTTGTACTGGGCTTACGGTAGGGTGAAAATTCAAATACCGTACGGTAGGTTGAAGGACGAACGGCGTGTGTTGCATTGTACGCCTACGGCAAGTGAAACGACACGACATGACATGACACGACTCGATTCATTCATTCTTTGTCGTCAATCGTCGCGATCCTGATCGTTGCGTTCCAGGACATCATCCAGCGACGAACAACCCAAGCCAAGCCAACCCAAGCCAACCCAACCCAACCCAAGCCACACCACACCACACCACACCACACCGTACGGTATACCAAAGACACCCAACAACCAACGCAGGGCAAGGGCCGTCGCCTCGTTGTCGGAAGATGAGTGACACAGGGACCGGCGTCCCAACTGCACCGTCGATTCCCGCTACGGACGCTCCGAACACTAACGCCGCAAGCACAGACGGTGTCGGCACCGACGGTCCAGCGAGCGGCAAGGGTCGTTCTCCGGGAATCCATCCATCGGGGAACAAAAACAAGCGGGGTCGCCACCACCGAAGAAACAGCAACAGCAACAGCAACAGCAACAGCAACAGCAACAGCAACAGCAACAGCAACAGCAACAGCAACAGCAACAGCAACAGCAACAGCAACAACAGCAAGAAGAAACCCAGTGGCAGCTCTGGTTCGTCTGCTCCCACTGGCAGAGGCAACCATGCGAGGCAACCGAACCACGGCAACAGCAACGGCAAAAGCAAAAGCAGCCACCAAAAACCCCTGTCGGACAAAAGGCTGTCCCATTCGCTGTCGTGGGCGCTCCGGCACGCTGCCCTCGACCTAGGCCTGAGCATCCGACCCGACGGCTTTGTCCCGGTGCGGGAACTCCTCGACTCCACCCACCCGAAACTAAGGGGGGCCACGCTGGAAGCCATCCGAAGGGTGGTCGAACACAGCGACAAGCAGCGCTTCCGGCTCGAGGACCGGCCGGGGGACCTGTACCCGTCCGCCGGCGAAGGGCAAGGGGAGACGGTCCTCTGCATACGGGCGAACCAGGGCCACAGCATTTCCACCATCGACCCGGAGCTCCTGCTGACCAGGATCCCTCCCGAAACCCTGCGGTCGCTCCCCCGCATCGTGCACGGGACGAACCCTTGGGCGTGGGAGTCCATCTTGAGGGACGGCGGCCTCCGGAAGATGAACCGGACGCACATCCACTTTGCTCCGGGCCTCCCATCGGAGACAAGCGTGGTGTCGGGCATGCGCAAGACCGCGTCGGTGTACATCTACGTGGACGCCGAGAAATGCGCGAAGGAAAGCCGGATCGACTTCTTCCGGAGCGACAACGGCGTGCTGCTGACCGACGGCGTTGGGGACAGCGGGGTGCTGCCGGTCGAATTCTTTTCCCACGCCACGGATTCGTCGGGCGAGATACTCCTGGACAATCGGACAAAGCCGGCCACTTGACGATCGCAAGCGACCAGCACAGCATTTTTCAATCCACCATCGAACGCATCGCATTCGCCAACAACAAACACACCGATCGATCGATACTGTACAGTCAAACAAACAAAAAATGCCGATGCGGCAGGGAGCCGAAAAATATATCACTGTCCATAATTAATGTCGTAGGCTATCTATAACTCGTCTTCGTCGTCGTAGTATTCTTCCTCTTCGTCGTATTCGTATTCATCCATGTCGTCCAATTCTTCTTCCACCTCGTCCTCGTCCTCTTCCAACGGGGCATCGCTCTCGCCGGCGGCTTCTTCGTCGGCGTGGTCGGACTCCTTTTCTTCGTCCGAAGAGGCTTCCTTCTTGGAGGTCTCGCTTTCTTCGGCGTCGCCGGCAGAGCTCGATTCGTCCAGCTTCAATCCCTTTTGAAGCAAATCCTGAGACAGGGTTGGGCCCATTCGCGACGGCAAGAAAAGGCCGTAGGCGTCTAACGTAGGAGCCGTTTTCTTCACCATGCTTCGTGTCTGCGGCAGCAAGCTTTCGCTGTAAAACTCGCACCACTTCTTGATGAGAACCGGATCTGCCCCTTTCAGATCATCGTCCTTCAATGCTCTCGTCAAGGCACCGGTCACTGCCGTTGTCAAACCGAGGAGATCCGATGCAACTCGTTCCACTGCGAGCGCCGTGTTCTCGTTTTCTTCTCCCTTCTTCAGCACACATGCCAAGCCAGTTTCGAGCAACAGCTTTGCGGCATCGAGGTGATCGGCTTTCAGTGATGTCGACGTGATGGGCTTTGGCGCGGCTTTCTTTTTCTTAGTGTCTTTGGCGGACGGAGCAGCGATTTCGTCAAACATGCCTCCGAAACATTGGGCACGAAGCAAAACGTAGTGAGCGTATCTTCCCAAGAACGCACGGTATTTCGCCGTTTCTTCCGAAGTATCACCGGCTAGCAACAATTTGGAGCTGAAAAATTTTCCTTTTCGTTTCGGATCGCGGGTGCGACGAAGTTCTCGCACACGTGCCTGATATACATATAAATCACAATAACAGTTTCGGAAAAAATCGAATGAGCAGGGTTCTAGAGGAATGGAGACGGGAAAGCACCATGGAAAAGAACAGAGATGTGTGAAACTTACCTTGAGGGCGGGAGCGTGCTCGGGTGACCCGTCAGCAGAGAACCGATGGAGAATGTAAAGCGCTTTGATGGTAGTGCGCCAGTCTTTTTCCGCCATCTTTGCCCAGAGTTTGCGAAGCACAGCATCGTAAATGTCGTAGCGTGCGCTGATTTGATACGTAACTCCTACCAGTCGTTCGGCGTGCTTTCCCTTGACAGGTGTGTCGTCAGGCCGAGTAGCCTTGAGCATGACTTGTTCGAGCTCCGAACTGGTCAGTCCCTTCACTTCACGATACAAATTGGCCGACAACCCAGAAGTTGTTTCTCTGGCTACACTGAGCGATTTCATTGCGGCTTCCTTGACAGAGCTGGCATCTGGCATGGAATTTCGAATGGCGCTTAGGCCTCGAGTAAACGTGGAAGGCTGTTGTCTGCGATTGGTGTAGGGAACAACTCTACCGCCTCGGCCCGGTCGTCGGTTTCCGCGAGGTGGCGGGCCGGGACGACGTCCAGGGGGAGGCCTTCTCCCTGATTGCCGGCGTGGTGGAGGGTAATCATCTTCGTCATCGTACTTACTACTTCTACGCGACGCCGACTTTCTAGGAGGAGGACGCCTGCTACTACTGCCCGAGGACTTTCGTTTTGGACGATACTCTTCCTCTTCTTCTTCGGATTCTGCGTCATCAACAGCGTCTTCGTATTCGTCCTCTTCGTCGTCGAACGGATCGTCGAAGCCAACATCGTAATCGTCCTCGTCGTCCTCGTAGATTTCGGCACGTCGTTTCGAAACAGGTGGTCGTCTACTGCTGGATGGCGACCGACGCGATGGTCTCCCACTGGAAGAACTACGGCGACTCGAAGCTGATCGCGGGGCTTTCTTTGCGGCAGCAATATTATCTACTCCGGCGACTAGCGCTACCAAAAGTAGCACGGCGCACGTTGAAAATCTCATAGCGAAAGTTTGTTGTTCTGTTAATGTCTTCCAAAATCAAGTACGTATGTGCAACTCGTGAAAATATTCTTTAAAATATTCTAAGATTCGTATCGTCAAATCTCTCCCTCTCCTTCAAGACAAATGGTGCGAAATGTGGGGTGTTGGTCGATTCTCTAGCTTGTGATGTTGCTTCGGATTGACTATTGACTATCCATACCGCATTCAACTTTTGTAACCATGATGGATTGGATATGCATGCTTTCATCCCGAAAGGTAACGTTTTTTCCTTGCGATTTGATAGGTTCCATGTGTTAAAATCAAATGCTTGTTGCCAAACGGTAAATTCCACGTTGAAGAACGGACATCCGCCCAGACAAAAAAGGGGGATACGACAAACAATTGAACTGTTGCATTTTTTTGTAGTGGCACGATTGATTTTTCTGATTCGTTCGTGACCAATCATCAATGGGTGATTCCCGCAAACATATATCTGTGTAAAAATGAGACCGGCCGGCTCGAAAAAATATGTAAAGTACACAGATTTTGGTTGT